TATTGGTAATTTGATTTTGATTTGAAACAAAACAGACAAAATCGCGTTTAAAAGCTAGTAAAAAAAATATCGGGATAAGTAATAACATCCGTAACTTTCGCGTGCCGTGCACTGTTATCGCTTCGAAATGGGTGTCAGCAGTATCGGCCGCGGGAGGATGTTTTGCTACGCGAATTATAAACAACGAAGCGCTGACGACGGAGCTTTCGGGAGCTTTTCCACTGCCACCCACAGTCGGAATTCGATACAGGTGGGATACTAGACCACTGTTAATGAACTAGTTCCTGCCCGTGGATTCATCTTGGTTTTATTTTTATGTATGATAATGGAATGCACTTGCTTGCGTTGAAGGTTTACGTAAGCAGATCATCAGTGGAGGAAGTTAAGTTGAGCATAAAGTCAGGTCAGTTAGCGTGGTTTTTCGCTAGGAATTTATCACGATGGTTTCCAGAGGGAACCGCGTAGAGGTCAACCTAGGATATGGCACATTGCTAGCAGTAGACAATAATATTAATAATAATCTCAGAACAATACACACAGCGCCATCTACTCCCAAGTTAAGCTAGCTATAGCTTGTGTTATGGATGCTAAATGACTGATACAAATACATAGATTTTTCGTAAATATATACATATTATACACACAAAATACCCAGACCGATAGAAACAATCATATTCATGAATACAAATGTTTGTGCCATACGCAGAATCGAACCCACGACCATCGGAAGTAAAGCCGTGTACTAAACCGCTGGGCCACCGAGGTCATCAGGTGTATATTCTTTATTGCACATATAATACATTGATAATATAATTTAGAGACATTGTGTAATCTATATTATTACGAGCCATTCCATACCTTAACGATTCTTGTTCCAGATAGAGTAGCTAGAGGTATTGTCCGTGGACTTTCTCACATGTCGCTGGGTATATTCGACGAGACGACGACTTGACGACCTCGGTGGTCTAGCGGTCTACACCGCTTCACGTCCGATGGTCGCGGGTTCGATTCCTCGCACGGCACAAACATTTGTATTCATGAGTATGATTGTTTGTATCGGTCTGGGTGTTTTCTATGTATTTACGAAAAAATATCTATGTACTTGTATCAGTTATCTAGTATCCGTAACAGAAGCTTTAGATAGCTTAACTTGGGACTAGATGGCGTTGTGTGAATTGTCCTGAGATTATTATTATTATATTTGAATCCAACACGTCATAATACATAGAGCAATCGTATTTTAAAATATTTGTCATCTATATGTTACGTACTAGGTAGTAAACAAAATGGGGTGCCTCATAAATTAAAATTTCAAGTGTTTGGCCTCTTGTCCAATTACCGTCTTTTTCACCTCATTGTTTCTTATTCTAAGTGTTTATTTTACCTTTTAAAAGCTTCAAATGATGTGGTAAGTGTCTTTGACAACTTTAAATTCTACACTATGCTTAACTAATACCATAATACTCAATAATATTAAAAATACAAAAGTTTGTAAGTAATAAGATATTTGTGACTCTTTCACGTAAATACTACTGAACGGATTTTGATGAAACTTTATAGTAATATAGCATAAGCTATATTACTATAAAGTTTGTATAAACTTCTATAAGTAATGTATAAACATTAGAATAATATATAAGCTATATTTTACGTTGAAATTTGTATATAGAAATTTAACACTGGCGAAACCCCTAGCACAGCTAGTTGGTATCATAAATGCGAAAGTTTGTGAGTATGGATGCATGTTTGTTACTCTTTCACACAGAAACTACTGAACGTATTTTGATGAAAGTTTGCTGTAATATAGCTTATATATCAGAAAACATATAGGCTAAAATTTCATACGGATGAAAGCGCGGGTATAGGTAATAATTTATATTTCAATTACAATAATTGAACCCTAAATCTGTTGAAGATTAGTTCCCAGTAAGATTACGCTGTATAAGTCTAATGGACATACGTTCTGACTACTTTGTCTCGTGAAATATGAGACGAATAGCAGTTAATGAGTTGCTGAGTGTTCAGAGGTACGTCCGTTCGGCGTTGATAAAATAATTGTTTATATTACAGTTTTAAGAATGGATTCCCAGTAATTTAGCGCACCTACTTGCTTAGTTAGTATTTCTCATATGCTGACCGTATTTTCTGATGGGGACTGGGAACAGGAGTGGGAGGGGGGCGGGGTATTGACTATACCTATAGGCGGGGTTGAAGTCGGGCCAATAATTCATTTATATACGAGATTTTAGTTTAATGTTAGCCATAGACACCTACATAAATAATCTGGCTTAAAAAAAAGAAATCCAGTTAAGTTACTTGGCAGTTCTTCTCAATAGTAAAAATAGTATATATCTTCAGGTAAAAAATATGAATACATAAAATTAAATTTCCTACATGAATATTTTTTTAATATAATTACGTTAATAACCCTTAAAATTCACTTATATATTCAGTTTATAAATCCAAATATACACATGTATAAAAAAAAGCGAAACAAATAAAAGACAAAAAAAAACACCTCCTGCACGCGTCGGTGACAACCAAATTCTCACGGTCCTCCCTACTACATAAGAGATGGTACTCTGGCGACTGAGAAAGTGGCGGTGTACCCAATAACCTTACCAGACAACTGGATAGGAGAGGCTCTTGGGAGTTGATTGTGGATGATAATGAATTGGTGCACCCGCCTGCGCTAACGGTTTACGCTGGCGGGGCACCAGTGGAGGATGACAAAATGAGCATGGTCAGATCAGTTAGCCCATCGTGACAAATTCACTAGGAATTTATCACCATGGTTTCCAGGAGGAACCGCGTGGAGGTAGATCTAACATGATGCATTGCTATCAATGGGGACAACTAATTCCCATTACTAACAATCTCCCGGTTTTGGGGGTTAAATGACCTCAAAAAAGTCTGTAGAAGAAGGCAAAGGGAACCACTGCTATAAATCTCACAAGAAAATCACTATGGTAGGCTATATACCACTTTTCGTTTAGTAGGCTGTCAATTTATAATCTCAGGACAATTCACACAGCGCCATCTAGACCAAAGTTAAGCTAGCTAAAGCTTGTGTTATGGGTACTAGATAACTGATACATGTACATAGATATTTTTTGTAAATACATACATATTATACATAGAAAACACCCAGACCGATTCAAACAATCATTAAATACTCATGAATACAAATGTTTGTGCCGTGCGAGGAATCGAACCCGCGACCATCGGTCGTAAAGCGGTATGCTAGACCGCTAGACCACCGAGGTCGTCGAGTTTAATCAATCAAGACTAAATTAGGAAACTAAATTCAAAGTAAAAATCTAAATCTGCATTGCTCAATCAAACTCAATTGATCAGTCCAATCGATTTTCTTATTGGCGTTTCCATTTACCAAGAGTATAGTCACAAATATAAATTGACACAGAGTTTACTGCTAAATATGATTATTATATTAATACGTGAAGTTTTTACTACACGTAGTAATATATAAATATAATAAAATTTCTAAAAACCTTGAGCCCCTTTTTTATTAAAATTCATTGCGCGGTTTGAAAAAAACAGTTGAATAAATTATGCATAAAAAATACATTAAATCAATAGAAAAACATTACATACGGTGTAATGGATCGGTGGACTGTATGGGTGTCTAATTAATAAAAACACGTAGTTTGCAATAATATAATATATTAATATATGCAGCGAAACTATCAAAAGACAATGAGAGAATAATACAATAAAGTGAAGTATATCAAATAACATGACATATAAAAAAGAACTCTTCAAAAATATATATTTAAAAATAATAAAAATATCAAAAGAGTTCGGCGGTCGGTCGCCAACACACGGTACCATGTATTTTTGACCCCCACATGCATAGTATATTCTTTACGATGTATTTATATTATTTTGTTTAATTCCGCTACAATTAACAAGTGGAAACAAAACCTGACCAGCTCTACGACCTTAATATAAATCCACCGAGTAGTGAATTTTGCAGCCAGAATCATTGGTAATCAACGTCTATGTGACAGACTCGACCCATTGGCTTTGCGGCGAGATATTGCATCTCTGTGCATTTTCTACCGCATATATCACGGGGAGTGTTCTGAGGAATTGTTCGGATTAATACCAGCTGCTGAGTTTCATCACCGTACCACCCGCCAGAAACTGAAATACCATCCTGATCATCTGGATGAATGGCGGTCTTCCACAGTACGGTTTTCTAGAAACTTTTTGCCTCGCACAACCACATTGTGGAATCACCTTCCAGCAATGGTATTTCCGAACCGATACGATATTGAAACCTTCAAGAAAAGAGCTTATTCCTTTTTAAAAGGCCGACAACGTACTTGCAATTCCCCTGGTGTTGCGGGTGCTCATGGGCGGCCGTAATCACTTACCATCAGGTGAGCCGCATGCTCGTTTGTCCCCTGTGTTATAAAAAAAAATGGTCTTACGCAAAATAAGACCTAATTCGATTAAGTATATTCTTTGTCAATAGAACCTTGACAGTGTTCAAATTTATAATAATAGTAATATATCATAAGTATATGTATACATAATATAAACATATATGTATTTATCACGACGGTTTCCAACCGAAACCGCGTGGTTAATCTGACATAACAATAATAATAGCCTGTATTTAACAGTAACAATCTTTCTTACATAATTATCTTAATCTAATTTAATTACTTGACACCGGCAGTTGAAAGTTGTTTTGCTGTACAGCATAGGTCTCCGCTGGAGTTCGCCATTGAATGCGATTCTGCGCTACTCTTTTCCACGTGCCGTTATTTTTTTAATATCGTCTTCCTATCTACGACGCTGTCTCCCTTTCCGTCTTTTATGTTCTTGGGCACAGTATATTGCTAACAATACATTTCTCTACTCCTCATTATTAATTCCTCCCTTTATCCAATAGTCATGCCGACTTTAAACATAATATATTGGCATAGCTAAATCAGTAGATTTTTTAAATGATAATGTTTTATTTTCAGCTGATAGTACGTCGTCGGGGTAGACGAGGGGTGTATGCTCAGCGCTGTACACCGGTATCTCTGGATGCGTACAGCCTGGACAGCGTCAGCGTTGGTCACAGGAAGGGCAACCAAAGACTTCGAGCCAGTAAGAGAAGTTACGGCAACCCAGCGTATGATGACGAGGTACATTGATAGCTAGTCATAGACAACTATTTGTAATAAATAGATAAAGAAGTTTGTCACATCAAAATAATAATATCCTTGGGCAAGACAACTGATAAAAATACTTGTATTTTTATCAGTTGTCTAGTACCCATAACACAAGCTCTGCTTAGCTCTGTGAATTGTCCTGTAAGTTTATAGTTTCTTTTTAATACATATATAATTTACATAGAAAAATACATATATAATATAAATACCCAATTTATTTTAATAAAGAATTTTCTTTTATAATTATACTCATGTAAACAAATGTTTGCACTGTGCGAGGAATCCAACCCACGAGCACCCGAAGAAAAGCGATGCGTCTAACCGCTAGACCACCGAGGCAATCAAAAGATACAAATGTCACAATTTTACTGAACATATTTCCAATATTTTTGGAATGGCATATAAAATAAAGAACATTCTGATTTTGAAGTCGGTTATAATGTTGTAATTCGACTGAACTTAATGGAATTTAATACGAAGATAGACTGTATTACAAGGATGGTTATAGGTTATCTTAGAATATAATCTGTGGGCCTGATACACAGGTATATTTTGAGAATATTAATAACTTTTTGTTCTACATCGCTATAAAGATATATAGGTACTTGTATCTACTTATACATATAATACTTTAAAGATTTAAAGTGGTTACTCGTAGAAAAGTCCCATTAACTCAAATTCAAGTGTTATCTTCCAGTGTGTCTTTGGTTATTGGGTTTGAATCTGTAATAAGGTATCTTTTCTCACATCAATTAGTTTTAGGAATATACAGTGTTAAATCAAATATATAAATAAAATTGGAGTGTCTGTTTGTAATATTGAAATAACCGTTTTTTACTATATGCATATGAATATAAATACGGTATATACACCTAAATAACATTTTTTACAAATTTTTATCTGTCTGTCTGTTTGTTCCGGCTAATCTCCGAAATGGCTGGACCGATTTTGACGGGACTTTTATTGGCAGGTAGCTGATGTAATAAGGAGTAACTTAGGCTACTTTTATTTTAGAAAAATAAAGTTAAATTCCACACGGACGAAGTTGCGTGTACAGCTAGTTGTAAATATAAATTTTGTCAAGGTGAGATTATAGATTGAAATATAAATTTTATTCCACAAACAATAGAGTTTAAACTTCTTAATATTTAAATTGTATTAAATTGTACTGTTTAACTTTAATTCAATTTGATATAATAATCTTGGACAATACACACAGCGCCATCTAGTCCAAACTGAGACCTTGTGTTATGGGTACTAGACAATGTAGTATATACTTAACTATATATATATTTATGTATATTTTGTAAATATATACATAATATACATAGGCAACACCTAGACAATAGAATAGAATAGAACAGAAAATCATTTATTCAAATAAACTTAATTTAAGCACTTTTGAATAGTCAACATTTTTTTTAAATCTACCGCTTATTAATACAAATAATATATAATAATACCTATGAATACAACTGTTTGCACTGTGCGAGGAATCGAACCCGCGCCCGCGACCAACGGTAGTAAGCCGGTGTGTTAACCACTACAGCACTCGAGGGATTTTCCTCTTCATTGTAATTTTTCTCATTATGAGTCACATAACCACTACAGCACCGAGGTCTCGAGCACTCGAGGGATTTTACTCTTCATTGTAATTTTTTCTCATTATAGGTCACATCACATCCAATGAACTATGCTGCTCTCGCAAATTTCGCTCTCGACGTGGAGTCCATAATCGCTGAGTTTTCCGAGATACCTTCAGTGACCGTCCGCCCTGATGAAGTGCCACCCGGGTGCGAGGACAAAAACCGGTACTCCAACGTGCTCCCGCTGCCGGAGACCAGGGTCCCGTTGAAGAGAATCGGAAACGACCCGACCACAGAGTATATCAATGCAAATTATATAACTGTAAGTATATAAATATAATACTTATCTATACATCTATACATATAAATAAAATTGGAGTGTCTGTTGGTAATATTGAAATAACATTTTTTTAGTACATGCATATGAATATAAATACGCTACATACACCAAAATAACATTTTTTACTATTTTTGTCTGTCTGTCTGTTCCGACTAATCTCTGATATGGCTAGACTGATTTTGACGGGACTTTTTTTGAAGTAGCTTATGTAATAAGGAGTAACTTACTTACTAACTTTTATTTTAGAAAAGTAAACTTAAATTTCACGCGGACGAATCGCGGGAACAGCAAGTTAATAATATAAATGCGAAAGTACCTCTGTCTGTCCGTCTGTTTGTCTGTTTACCTTTTTGGTATTCTCATATTGTGTTGCATATTGCTATAGTGTTATTTGTTTGTACTTTTTGTATCTATATTGTTATCTATTTTATAAATGAATCAATTTAATTATTTACTAGTCGTCACAGTGTGGTCTAAATTCGACTATAATTAATTAAAAATTTTAAGTTTGAACATTATTAAGTTTCTATTGTCTAAGTTTATGATATTATCTATGCGTGTATTTGTCAAATACATACACACTACGTGTGTAATTTTTTTTATTGATTGTATGTATTTTTTATGCATAATTAAAAAAAACATTATCGTTTTATACTCTTTCGTCCGCGCAATTTTTATTCATTAACTAACTGTCCAGGCAAACGTTGTTTTGCCTTAAAATAAAAAAAAATTAGGGGTGGACTACCCCTAACATGTAGGGGGATGAAAAATAGATGAAGGCCGATTCTCAGACCTACTCAATACGCTCACAAAATTTCATGAGAATCGGTCAAGCCGTTTCGGAGGAGTATGGGAACGAAAACTGTGACACGAGAATTTTATATATAAGATTTTATAATGGATTCAAATTTTTTCCTTCATCTATTAATTTAATGATTATGTTTTTTTTACCAGGGTCCTGGGAATATCCGTAACTATTATATAGCGTGCCAGGCGCCTCTCGCTAACACCGTGGTAGACTTCTGGCGGATGATATGGGAGCAGAACTCCAGGGTCATAGTTATGCTCACGGAGTACATGGAAAATGGGGTGGTAGGTACTTCTTTTTAGCATAGGGGACAAACGAACTTGCGGCTCACCTGATTGTAAGTCATTACCGCCGCCCATCAGTACCCGCAACACCAGGGGAATTGCAAGTGTGTTGCCGGCCTTTTAAGAAAAAATAAGCTCTTTTCTTGAAGGATTCAGTAAATCTTCATGGACTGGAGTAACTAGTATTCTCAAATGAAGTTGACACTTGAGCAATGCAACTATTGGACTATACGTTTAAAAATTTTGAATAAATATGTTAGGATAATTCACACAGCGCCTTCTAGCTCTAAGTTAAGCAGAGCTTGAGTTATGGGTACTTAGACAAGTGATATAATTAGATTTTTTTGTAAACTCATACATAATATATATAAAAAACACATAGATCGATACAGATAATCGTATTAATGAATACAAATGTTTGCACCGTGCGAATCGAACATGCGACAATCGAAATAGCTGTGTGCTAAACCACAAGACCAACAAGGCCGTAGAAATATTAAAATATAACACAGGACATATCCCGTCCATTTTTACATATAAAAAAAGGTCAAAAACTATAATAATTGAATTTTTTTTTCAGGAAAAGTGCTACGAATATTTACCGCCATCTGAAGTGTCAGATAACAAGAGAACCTTCGGCGATTACCAGATAATCTTGAAGAAGCGCGAACAACGCGACAAGTACGCGATATCCAGCGTCCAGCTCATCAACTTGACGACCAGGACCTGGAGGGAAATCACTCACCTCTGGTACTTCTGGCCAGCGAAAGGTGTTCCAGATGATTATGATTCAGTTCTGGACTTCTTGTCAGAGATGAGGAGTTATATGAAGATCTCGCAGACTGCCAAAGAATATGACGAGGAAGGTGAGTCTGAGCTGTTCAATTTTATAACTAGCTGTTCTCTGCAACTTTGTTTTCATGAAATTTTACTGTTTTTCTAATATTTTATAAAATAAAAGAAGCCTAAGCTATTCCTTATAACATTAGCTATAGGCGAAAAGTGAAAGTCCCGACAAAATCGGTCCAGCCGTTTCGGAGATTAGCATTTTTTTTTAAGTTAAGTTTTTGTTGTAAGTCGTATACACTTTTATATGCATTTAGTGAAAAGCTGTTAATTTGAAATTACAAACAGATACTTGAGTATTATTTATTTGTATATACGGTTCCCTCAAATTTGTTTGCCTTTATATTTGTATACGTTTTATCAATAAAATACAGAGAGGTGTAAAATAGTTTACAAATTGTTTTAAAAAAGAAAATACATATAAATTTCAAATTAATAACGTACATACATAAATACGTACATATACATCCACACACACACACACACACACACACACACACACACACACACACACACACACACACACACACATACACACACACACTCACACACATTCACACACAGCGTAAATAGATTGGGTTATTGATGATGATGATAAATTCAATTTCAGGGGTGGAAGTAATTTACGGAGATCAGAACCGTTCATCATTTAGCAACTTGTCGAAATTCCGAAGCGATGATAATGGCTCCGGGAATGGACTGAATGTATACTCTCCAGCCAAGGCTGAGGAGCAGATGAGGAGAGGAAACGTCACCAATGGTACTCTGAGCAGAATGAAGGCTGCTTCAGAGATTGAGAGTATGTATATTTGACTATTTTTGATATATGACAAACTTTTGTATTTATGAGTATGATTATTTGTATCAACCTGGGTGTTGTGAATGTATTGAAGTATTTATATCAGTTGTTTCTCCGCCTCCTATGTCAATAACAACCGATCTCCCACAGCCTACTAAAATTCTTCACCGAAGTTATCAAGTCTGGGTAGTACATCGGACCCTCGTACTCTTACTGCTCATCGGACTCTTACTGCGACGTATTCTCTCCAGCACCTCCCTTAAGTCGGAATAGAGTGATTACTCCTATAGAAAGTGTTGGAGGTTCTCCACCAAATTCCCGCCAAAGCGCCCACTGGACTCGTAGAGTATCGTGGCGTGCAGTCGCTACCCAAAAAAGCCCAATCCAGTTAGGATCTGTGAGATCTCATAATCGGATTCGACAAACGGAGACGCCAACTGTTACTCGTGAATAGTAGCTAGTTTGTGTAACGTGTTTGTGCTCGTGCAGAGCCCCGTGTACAACCCTCCACCAGCCCATGGTATGGTAAATTATACTGGTCGAATCTGCGGGGAATGCGTGCTGAAAAGCACCTCCCTCTTGTCTCGTCTCTCCTCTTTTTATACGCATTCAAAAAGGGGAGACGCGGACCCCCTCTATCAGGTCCTGACATGGTACACACCTCATCAGAACGCGTCAATCGCTACTGTAATCTGTGTCCGTTACTACTGTCGGGTCACTAATCTATTACACTGTACTCTATTCCACATAAATCTGCGAATTATCGTAGCTGTTTGCCAATTAAAATAACTTTAAAATGCTGTAAATATCTTTTTTTCGGTTTAACAATAGAAACCCAAATATTTTACCCCCTTGTATAATGTGTGCGCGTGCAGGCGTGCGCGCGTGCGTGGCGGTGTGCGCGTCGGGCGCTGGTCGCGCGGCGGCGCTGGTGGCGGCGGACGTGGGCGCGCGCGCGCTGGCCGCCGGCGTCGCTGACGTGCCGCGCCTCGTGCGCGAGCTGCGCGCGCAGCGCCCGCACTCCCTCTCCAACCGACACCACTACATCTTCCTCTACAAGGTACCACCTTTCAAATAGTCCCCGCTTATGAACGGCAAATTTATTTAAAAGAGCAACACACAAGTTTTCGCTCATTCTTCTGGCATTCTGAATGAGTTGTAGAATAAAAAAAATGTGACTAAGTTTCTTGCTCATTCTTCTTGTGATGAGTTTGCGTTCCGAATGATTAAAAAAAATGTGACGATTCAAAAGTGCTTATATTATATTATATTATTTGAATAAAGATTATATCTATTTCTATCGCTACAAATGTCGATTTTCAAATCAAATCAAAAGTAATGTAGGACATTTTAGAATAGCATACAAAAAACCTTTATTCAAATAAACCTTATATAAACACTTTTGAATAGTCGCTTTTTTTATTCTACCGCTCATTCGGAACGCAGACTTATCACAAGAAGAACGAGCAAGAAACTTGTGTATTGCTCTTTTAAATAAATGTTATTTTAATTAGATTTAGGATTAGGCATGCGACAATCAACATAGAAACCGCACACAGATTCAATTGAAAAGAACTGAAACTCAACTGAATTTTGTTTTTTTTTCTTTATTTTCTTAGGTCAGTCTTTTACAGGATCGATGTCCAGATTCGAGCACTAAATTCACAATGGGCTTAGTGACTTCATGTTCATTGTATTTTCTTGACTGGTGCCCCGCCAGCGTAAACCGTTAGCGCAGGCGGGTGCACCATTTCATTATCATCTACAAAAGAAACTTCTGCTAACCACACCATTTTTTTAAATGGAATGTTTGACTACCCCAAAATCTTATACCAGACCTTTAATTTATGGATGATCCATGAAAAATTATACAAAAACTACCTGATCCTGCAAGTTCCGTTCCGCACTTCAATATTAAATAACATGTCAAGGTTTATTGAAGTTTAGTTACGCAATAAATTTCTGAACGCAGAGCGCGTGCAAAGTTTTACAAGTATCAGCTATTTGTATGGGATAATATAATTGTTGTTTTTACTATTTTCCTTACAATTTTTCCATATTTTATCACCGTTTAAACCTTCCCTGGATTTCCCCGAATATTTCAAGACTAAATTTAGCCAAATCGGTTCAGCCGTTCTCGTGTTTTAGCGAGACTAACGAACGGCAATTCATTTTCATGTATATAGATGACAAATTTATTATATTTTTCAGCTATTAAGTGAATATGGAAACAAGCTAATGGGAGGTGGTGTGGATACAATCTGAAAAACCAGCTAAGGCATTTAAAATAAGCGCACATGAACGAAGACCTGAGAATACCGAGGTACTCATGACAAACGAATATAATATACGCATAACAATAAAATGTATTAACTGAAAAATATTTTTTCTTGAAAATTCGACTTAAACGTTCTCTGTTTAAAGTAGCATTTCAAAATGTTGTATGTGAGTTTAATGCGTTTTGTTGTTAAGCGTGTGATTTTTGGCGCGAGACGGCTTTACGTGATTTTCTTTTAAATTACGCTTCTAGCTAACGCGGTTACCTATTTTAAAAGCGTTCGATATCAAAGTGTCACAATATCTGTATTATCATTTCATTATCTGTAAGTTTTCAAATAGACTTTAAACTTATGTTGTATGTGTCTTAGAGGGAATATTTGAAGTTTTGCATGTAACAGATAAACTCAAAAAACTATTAATTGGATTGCTCGATAATTTTCAATGTTATATTTAGAGTCATTCATAAGCATTTAGAAGTGAGACAGAAGAATAAATATATATGTTATGGTCCGAAAAATAAACATATATAGTATGCTAAGAATCTTTAAAGATAATTAGCGTTCAAACTGTAGTAATTATCGTAATTAATTAATTTTATAATTAAATTGATGTTTCTAGTTTTTTATAAAGAACATACTGACTATGTTACTTGCTGATTAACGTAGTATTCTATGGTTGTAAAAGATTTTTATTTATGTTTTTGAGAATATCCAATACGTTCAAAACTTTCCTTTTTATAATATAAATACCTATAAATTACCTTAAAATGTTCGATAAACGAATTGTAAAAGGAGAAAACTCTTTTTAAATTGACCTATAATATCAACATTGCGATACTTTGATAATAAACGCCCTAATGTCTAAAACCTATTTAAATTTAATTTGTATATTTATTTCGGTTTAATTAATATTTAACACACTTCCCGGTGTTTAATCCAGTTTAAACTCTTCATAAATAAATATAAAGATGTAAATGCAACGTTGGGACATCAATGGCTTAATTGCTAACAATTCTTAATTACAGTAACAGATTTAAATTGATGGATTTGCGTTTTTGTAAGAAGTATTTGACAGTTGTTGTTACTATAATAAATTAATACATAACCTCGAATGGCTGTATGAGCGCATTTCCCTTTGCCTTTTCGTTGAAAGATCAACGGAACAAAAAAAACATAACCTCAAAACTGAAGGTGTTTTAATGTTGAATTAACATTATTAAATAACATTAAGCCTTTAATGATTAACAATGTTTTAAAAAACATTGCAATCTAAATGCTATGTCGATTATCTTATGATATATTGGCAGCTAGGTACTGAGTTCGATAATGAATCTTATGCCTCAAGGTTTAGGTATCAAATCTTGTTTCCAAAACATGTTTTTAATATAAATATAAGTAGGTAACTGTACATTATGAAGACGTATTGTAATTCGGAGTTTGCATTTGAATAGCGAATCGATATGAATATACCCTACTACTATATAAGACTATCATAAGAATTTGCAGTAAGTATTGCTATAGTAAAAAAATAAAGATTTGTCTATAGACGATAAGCTATGTAGCTCAATGGTACATTCCAATGTCAAATGTGTTTTTGTAAATTTTGACAATATATAGAGTATGGGGTAATTAGATATTACAATATCATGACGTGTATGCTCTCTGAGAGTAAAAGTATGTTATTGCTTTTATAATAAAGTAGGCGCTGCAAGATAAATGCAGACATAATGCAAAAGTGTATTTAATTGCTATTTCATTAACTCGTTTAGAATGAGCATGAGCAAAAGAGTACCTTATTGCTATTTAAATATATTAGGCGCTGAAAGTATAAGTTCTGATAGATATTTTCTGGACTTTAATATTTAATTCGAATTGTAACTACATTAAGAGTATATATTTTTCACATTGACTTGAAGTTAATACCTTGAACATTACCTGAATGTGTTAAGTAATACATTTCATTGTTTAATTTAAACAAAAACTATTTGAAAAATGCCAAAGTTAAATTACTAGATCTCTAAAATTGGTCGTTCAAACACTGTTATATTTTAATATATAACTCAATTTGTTTACATTTTAATTATTTGCTTAAGTATTGAGATATACATATTTTCATTTTATATAATTAAGGCATCATACCTTTTTGTTCTATTGATGACAAAAAACTCTTAATATAACGAATTGTACATAAACTATTTTGTATTTCGAACAATTTTATTTTTATTATCGTTTTTAAGTAATTTAACTAGTCTTTTAGCCAATTCGTTTTAATTTTAATGATCAGATTTCGTTATTATATCTGTGGTTACACAAATTCAGGATAATGTAAATATGAATTTGCTTTATGAAAAATTCCACACGAATGCATAATTTCTACCATAATAAATAAACGTATTCTAATTAGAAGTTTATTTCCATAGTTGTTATTGAGATCTGCTGTGATTTCTACTAACTTATTGTCTAAGTGAACTATCTACTAACTTAGACTTATATTTGTAATATTAATTCGTAATTAAGCATAACTTTAAATACTCTGGTAGCTAACTATGTTACCTATAGGTGCATTAATTAAATTATTATATATACTTATTATTATTGTAAATTCTGTTATAGATTTAATATTTTATATCTTGGATGTAAAAAAAATACGCATTTGGAATCGTTACATTTATTTAAAATAATAAAAGCATTTAACAAAAGGTTTTAAAATACAAGACAGCAAATCTAATATAATACTTAGAATTTCACGAAATGAAATATTCTACTAATATATTGGTACATAAAATATGTTTTTAAATGACTTTTTGAATATAATAATAATAAATTATTAAGATTATTTATTATTATATCACGTAAAGATCGGATTTTTGTAACGAATAGAAAAGCACTGTTTTAATCCACACGTTTATTGTTAAGTTTTATTATTTAGTTATTTAATATAAATATAAAATGTAATTGACCAAAAAGAAAAAATAAATATTTTAGTTGTAAACATTATTATGTTAAAATAAGAAATTGTAAAAATAATATAATAAATTTTATTATAATGATAATAGTATTTTATTGAATTTATCTATAATGAAGTTTACCTAACTCTTGTTATTGTTTATACAAATAAATAAAATTGAAATATTTGTCTATAATTTCAAATTAACAATATATAAATACGGAGGTCGGGATTTGAATAATCCCCTTTCATTGAATAAGTCACGGCATTCAGTCGACGAGCGTAGTGTGTCGGTAGTATTTTAGATACTAAAGTGAATTGTATTAGAAATGGGTTTATCCCGGTCTTAGTTGGACCTGGGGGGAAGCGGCAACTAGTCCCCGTCACGACATATGCTGAGCGGAGACCTAGTTGGTACTCTAATTATTAATATAAATGTAAATTTAATTTTAAAAATTATTTTTAGTGTACCAAATAAACAATTTTCTTTCTTTCTTTCTTCTTGATCGGGCGCTGCTTGGGGTCTCCCTTCTAGTAGCCGGAAAGCCTAAGTCGTCCTCATAATTAGTGCTTCTTACATCATGATGAAACGCTTCACAAGAAGTAATAAATTCTTGACAAATACCAAATTTAAATCACCACCGCTTCAAGATTGTTTGGCAAATATTTCTTCTATTGACCCTTCATAATTATGTTTTAAGAAGCTGTACAGAATTTCTTCTTTCTTGACTAGCGTTTAGCAAAATTTAATCATCGTCGCTTCGACAGTGTTTTGTGAATATTTCTTCAATTGACCTTTCAGAATCATCATCAGCATCAATTACTACATCGTCAATATCTTCTCGGGAATCATTAATGTTTTCATTATCATCATTTCTGAATGTTTTCGCATCGTTATCAACATTTATATTCCTTCTACGGTATACATTATTGTAACTGGTTGTATTCAAATTATTTGTATAATCTGTGACTGTATGTTCTCTGTCTGGTGTTTTGTCTAATTCACCAAGTGTGATGGAGTTGTGGACAGAATATGGTTTGTATTTGGGTAGACTCAAATGCGATCCAGCTAGTGAACTTGATGAAATATTGCATATATCTGAAAGAATATTAAATTGTATTATGTATGGAAAACATATATTAGTATGTGTAAATTTGCAATTTACTTAATATTTTCTATAATATATTAGTTAAGTTTTCATTTATGACTAAAGTGAATATGTATATACAATGTTGTATTTTTATATCTACAGTACCTAAAACAGGGTAAGTATCAGAAATATTTGTTATTCATTAATTTTACTTTAGAGCATATTGTGTTTGGAACAATCTTTGGAGTACATAGGTCTCTCTCCTCGAACCCTTGAATTAATCTTTTTATGTTTAGCGAATATGATGTTTTTACTGCACTTGCAAGGGACATGTCATCAGTTTAGTAACGTATAACTTTTTCAAGAATTGGCCGAATCGAATGCAATATTTTATAGGGTTTATAATGGATACTATATATATAGTAGTATAGGGTGATATAGAGTATACTATTATTAGTATAGTGTTATGATCACTAATACATATTGTAATAACTTACTAAGATGTGACTGAGTAGGAGACACGTCTGATTCATTGATCTGAAATTTAATAATAATTTTAAAGTATATTATAAAATATATCTATATATGGTATAAGACGAGTATATTACGGCATACATGTCATATAATCGAATATATAAGTAAACTACTGTCTTCGTAGAATTGGATAATATATTGTACCATTTTAATTGTTTTACGTGGTTTACACACAAAAAACAAAACTCTCTGCAAACATTGACAAAAAGCAGGCGGTAATGTTCTTTACCGGGGTTCAAAGCATCTGTATACTAAAATTCATCGAAACTGATTCAGTGGTAAAAGATATTTGCTTCTATCATATCAGTATGTACCAGACCAGCAGATTCTGAAATTGTGTATACTATATTCATATGATATGATAGTAACTACACAAGGTATAAGGTTATAAACCTGGATGTCAAAATGAATATTTTTCTTCTCAATTTTATTCTTGTCTACCGATACTTTATTATTTTTATAACGTCGTCTAACTCCATAAGCGCGGTACGACGCCTGGAATAAAATAATAGCAACTTTACTTACCAAATATTGTATACCAGAATGTTTGCCCAGTTATGCATGAGAAGAAATTTTATCTCGCTTTACGCGCCTCTTTTCATAATCATAATTCATCATAATCGTCTTAGTCCTTATCATTAATTAAAACGTACCAATATACACTCAATACATCTAAATTGTCCGTTCCTTTGGCATTCCAACTACATAAAGAAACAGATTATAAATAGTTACCTGAATTTTCTGTGCCATTAAATGATATTCATTATCTGTAGGCTTTGTCTTACGATATAATTGCAAAGTGTGGCTCGCAGCACGTAAAACTCCATCGTCGCTGTCTGAAGACGACTAGTGAAGTAAAACTGAGTAAGTATTACTTAACGGATTTACTTTGTTCAAATCCGCAACCATTAGAATGAGTGAGGCCATAAATATTCAGTGCGGAAACCTGACCACCACTACTTGAAGCGTTACGGCCGTTTTCTATTGGTCAAATTCCAATTTATTGAATCTATACCTATATTACGACACGTATTTCGCATCTGAATAAGACATCATCAGGCAATGTATAAAATTTGGATATAGCTTGGAAGCCTGGTAGTCACTGTTTGGCGATAAAATTGCAATAAAATAATATAAATCTATTAAATAATTAAACGTACTTCAGCAAATTAATATTTAGTTCAACAAAATATGGATATGTATTTGACAAAATTCTTTTTGAATCTCGTTTAGGTACATTGAGCAATATAATTTTATCCGGCTCGAAGGATCAAAAATTACTGCTCCAAGGAGCAAAAATATTGTGAAATCCTGTTTAAGTGAACTGTTCTGAACATATGACTCGAAATTTGACGAATAGAGTTTCAAATAGCTATTATTCCAAATTCAAACAAGGATAAAAATAGATCAGCCATAATTTTTGCCCAAATGTTTTTGTCTTATATATAATGAGATTTATTTTTTGATAGTAAAGGAGTTTAGAACTTAACGTGGATTCGTGCAATTGTATTGACTATGCATTATTAGTATTATTATTAGTATATTTATTATTTGTATCTAATTTCTGTACATATATATACATTCTCTGCAAACTCATAAATGGATGAAAACAGACTAGTCACAATTTTTGCCCATATGTTATTTATAAATAATGAAACTTTTTTTCTCTTCACTGTAATATTGTATTATATTATGTAAGTATTTTACAGTTTATATCTCCTCTAATTTCTGCATTCCTAGCGTGTATATATGTATATATACACTTTAGGAAAGGAACATAGATCGTTCACTTAAAATGTATAAAATACATGAATTATATAAAAATTTATTTTCTTCCTTGGCTAAACCAGTATCATGTCCAATGTTTTACGGTGCCCAATCATTACATTGTCTTGTTGTTATAATTGCGTATCTACAAGTCTTTAAACTTCTACTAAGTACTAACAAATATTAGAGTCGATATAATTAAAATACCCCATAAATAGTCGTATTGTTGATCTGATGCCGTCGGAACGCTTTTCTAACTGCCTCCTGTACAGCGGGCAGATGAGAATCATTTATTGTAGTGTTCTTCATTAGATTTAGCATTAGATTGCCATCCTTCGCTATAAACATTTGTATGCTCTTTAAACTCTATATTATTTATTATTTCAAATACACAAGAAAAATATCAACACCTACTAAATAAAACAATTACTGCACTTAATATTTGATATTTTAAGTATACTATAAGCAGTGTATATCACATCTTGATGAACCAAATAAAGACATTATTTAAATTATTATATTTTTTCTAAGCTTACAATTTGCGCGGATATATTAAAGAAATAGGCATACGAGGTATACGAGAAATAGGTACAAAAAAAAATTTTACCTCGTTTCCTATATATGTGTGTGTAACACATATAATAATTTAATTTATTTTTTGATAATGGAATAGCACACTCGTTTGCGCTAAGATTCTATATTTAGCGGTGGATTAGCCCAAGATATTGAAGATTGTACTACAGATATATGTATGTAATATACCTGTATCATTTTTAAAATAGTCGAAAATCACATCACTAGCTGCGGCTGCATCCTCGTCATCTAAACCTGTATACCTTAATTCGTCTTCTAATTCCGGATTACATGCACCCTCACAGATATCGCTACATACTCGAGAGGCAATGTGCAAGTTCTCTCTTGCCGTCAGAAGTGCTGATAGATAGCGAGTTATGAATTGATAGAGGTTTTGTGGTTGTACGCGAAGAACCTGTAGTAAATTAAGAAGAATGGACGAACTTTTTTTAATTTTATATAAGTATTTAACATTGTGCTAATTGGTGTATATGTACAATTTCATATGTTAATGCAAAGATAATCATTTAAATCTGTCTGACATAAACTAAGAAAAAAAAATTATTACTAGTTTTTACATAACCTATTTGTACAACTAAGAACCTAAAATTAAAAAGCTTAAAAAAATATATAATATGATGGAGGATAAAGTTAAGGATAAAGTTGGGGTAACAATGGCATTATCTAAAGGTACTGTATGTACGGTAATCCCATCGAAGTTAGCCTTATTTTAGTCGTCAATTATTATTTATTGATTGTCTATTGGACCTGAAGACCTTTAACATTTATTTTATAAAGTTTTTGCAAGCCAGATTTAGGCGCATCACGATTGTTGTTTGCGCGTCTACTAAAACGATAAAAATAAAAACAACAAAAAAAAAAAGTTTGTAAGCCGCCACTCTGCTTTTTCCCGCCCCCTTCTCCTGCACAATATGCACAATTAAACAAAAGGAGCTCCTTAAATATTAAAACAAACTGTATTTGTGTCGCGAGTGTGGTGTATTGTTATTGAAAACCTCAAGTGCTTCAGGTCACCGACGCAGATTGTCTATATACTATAATTTTGTGCAATTTGGGTGAGTTCCTTATTTCCCTTTTCCTACGATCACTGCAGTGTGGCTAAAAAATACATCAATTGTGTTATCTAAAATGACAATAACTATTTACCGTATTTGTACAAAATAACGCAGGTACATCGAAAACAAATCCAATACGCCTGTGAACATTTAAATAGCAACTTTTTGCAGTTAAAATAGATTGCGTTCAAGAGTGTTGAAGGAGTGCCGGAACATACTATATATATTAATATAATTATATATAATTATATTAATATATATATATATATTATTTGTGTCAAAATTAAATTAATTTATTAGCAGATATCTATGTTACGCAAATTGTTAACTGTAAATAGTGTTATTGAAAAGTAAGAGTCTCCATCAAGTTTTTGGCTCCTGCAAAGCCTTGTGAATACATGAATTCTACGTTTATTGAATTTATTGAATCTACTGCCACCATTACATACTGCTAGGTACTTTAATAGGTCGTTACTTCTCTAGAAATATCTGACATTAAATCCTTTAGTCCTTCAGGTAGTGCCAGCTTACAGCTGTCCTTTACTTGGGATTGTAATAAATCTTCCATTTTGTATTTCAACAATTTATTGTTACTATTTTTGACAGATAATTAAAATAAATCTAGAAGGCCGCGTTCAACTAATCTAATACGAAAAAACATAACTTTCCTTCCTTTTCCTTCCTTAGGCATACTCAATAAATCGCTAATATTAAAACTAAATCGCATTCTGGTTTCTACGTCTTCAAAATACAACACAACAGCAATTATTATCTATTGTATAACCTATTGTTACATAGTGTTAAAAATTGTAGTATCAATTTTTCTAATATAAAAACATTCGCTATAATAAATAAATTTGTCATAATTCATAATAGTTTAATAAATGCATGGGTAAAATATTGCTTAAGCTCCTTCATCGTCTTCTCCAGTGGTGTCAAGAATACCGTCATCTTCCATATCAGTGCCGTCAGCAGTATCTGGAGTTGCTGATGGAATTGACGTAGTTGGTGCACTTTCTCCATCACCATCAGTTCTGTCATCTGTAGGATTAAGGTTACAAATATTATGAACGAGCTGTAAGACTTTAAAAATAAGTTTCCAAATCGACCAAATTTCATTTCATTATCATGTTCATCCTATAGTAACTGTAGAGAAGTTGAGTTTTTATGAAATAAAAGTTTAGTATTATGCTTATCAGTTGCGCATTATTATGCTTATCAGTTGCATGGGCTGTTAATTGGATAACAAACTTATTTTTAATCTTTCGCGTTTGATATACATTCTTAATATAGTTGAATAGGTTTTAACACGAATAATTTTATGGTACTTATCTTTATTTACCATAAAATAATGGTATTAATATATCACGAACTGTCAGGAGTAACACTCCAGTCAGCTCGTGACCACGGCTAGTGCAACCCAATCGAAACGTCGAGAGAGGTAAATACCTTTATTTACCCACCAAAATTATTCGTGTTAAACCCCGTTTAACTATATTCAAAATGGATAAGAAAGTGTCATATATATAATTAGACATTTAAATACAGACAAACATATCTCTTCAGACAAACATTTTATCATATGTTTGCAGCCTTAGCGACGGCTTGCCGCTGTTTGTCTATATTTATATGTCTAATTATATATATGACACTTGCCGAGTAAATTGATAATATTATTGGATTTTCTTTTGTTTAGTAGTAATTAAGTACCATATATAAATGTTTAATATCATGCAATTTAAACAGTTGATAATAAATGTATATGATAATTGGTATTATACAACACTACACGATACTAGATTATTCTACCACACTGCTCCTTAACGTTATAGAAGTCAATAATGCATGCATTGGATTGATTAACTTATACTATCTATCAGTTCTAGTACCCACAACACAAGCTTTAGTTAGCTTAACTTGGGTCTAGATGGCGCTGTGTGAATTGTCCTGACAAAAAAAATCTTTAACTACTTACACGTATTATATCTATAGATAGGAGAGAAAATGGTTTATTGTTAGTAGATCGTGCTCGTGATCTATGATTTCACATTTAGATTTTATTGGCACTGAATATATTACTGCATTAACTAATATACTAAGTATACCTGGTATATCTTCAGGAATTTCTTGTGCTATATCAGCGACTATTGGCTGATCTGCTGGTACATTAGTTATTGTTATTGTGGCATCAGGTATATCTTTCAACTTTTCCATGTTTTCTGTCACAATCTTCTTTGACAGCTAATAAATCAAATCGTAGATTTCATTAATTTGATATACTTTCATAAAATTTGAAGTCTAATAATGTAAATTATTATCAATTCCACATACAACTATATCTCGAGCATACAAAGTTTAAAACTATTTAAATAAGGACATACGTATTTATTACTTTCGAACCATTTAATGTATTATACTAAAAGCAAATAATTTCAAAGAAAATAATTTATTGCAATGCTAGACAAGTCAATAGATAAAGCAACTTTTTTAAGCACTTACGTCTGAGATAGTTTTTTTTGGCACGGAAACTTCATGTGTTTGGCCCAATGGATAATTTTTATTGGACTCTAATTGACGTGGAGCTGCAATTTTACATTAATATCGGTCATATTACAAGTATAAGTTATAATATTACTTGGTTTAGATGGCTTATGATTACACTAACAGGTAAAAGAGAACAAATCTAATAGATGTTATAATCGTCTTCTATGAAATTGCAGATTATTTTAATGACTGGAAAGGCAACATGCTCACGGTCCACCTAAGTCCCTATGTCGCCTATTCATATGAACAGTTCTATTAACATCACTTTCACGTCAGAGGCATGACCTTCTCAAGGTGTCAGGTTAAGTTACTCTGCAATTTTAGTACCATATCTTACTCTTTCTAAGCATGCTGTAAAGTCGAGTGTCTTAAAACCTTCTTTAAATACGTTACTACGCCCGACAAAGAATTTTATTAACTATTTATATTTATGAAGTTAATAGGCTAAATTGATTTTACTTGCTATATCATCTATATGAATAGGTTCAGGTACAATGCTCAAATGACGACTCTTAACATTTCCTAATGCTGCCGGGTCGAAATTACTCTGTCTTGGCATTTCAACTTCTTTACTAGGTTCCAATTCTGATAAACGATTTTGCGCTTTGCTAGGCGGTTCAGCGGTTTTTACTTGTTCTTCCTCTAATATTTCCTTGTCATCAACGTGAGTGATAGTTCTCATAGGGTCATATAGAAGCCCAAGTTGTTCAGCGGCGTGTTTTTCAAACATTTTACCGACATCATCCTTGCGAACTTGTATGTTCTATTAAAAAAGATTGTTTTTGTTACCAGTATAGCATCAATTAATATCTTATAATCACTCTATTGCACTAATTTATAAATGAGTGATTATAAGACAAAATAAGTTCAAAACTACAACATTTTGTCAACAACTAAAAAAAATACACCCTACAAGGTATGATATAAGAAATATTCTCATCCCAGCATCTATTCAGGCATTCAACATCTTTAGTTCAAGACTTTATCCGCTTCAGGGCGCCGTGTTTAATTTAATGTGATATCACAGCCTTATAACCAGCGAAAGATCTAAACTCTTCTAACGATATAATATTTACAAATTCTAATAAGAAGTTTGGAAGCTCAGATCGGTTAAAATCATTTCATCACCTTTTTGCTTCGCCTTAATGGGATAAATATCTAAGGATTTGGCAACACAATATTTCTATTATCACAACATATAGAAGAGGTATAATCGTTTGTCACATCAAGATTTTAAGTAACCCTTAATTTTACATACATTAACTTACAATTATAGGTCCAAGATCAATTTCCCTGGAATCTGCCACGTCCAGTGGTGGTCCTAGTAAATCTACCTTTGGTCCCATTTTCTTGGGTTTCGGTTTTAAGTGTCGTAGTAAATTTCTGCGCACGTGATATCCTCTATATGCCGCCTAAAAAGGGATTGTTGTTATGTTTGTGGTACCATCATACATACATACATATGAACTACATATCTATGTATATATCGATGTATTTCAGCACACAAGTGAATAAAATAATACAAATATTTACCAACTATCACACTTTATATAAATTTTAATTTCATTACATAAAGCTAACGATTACTCCCACTGCTTACACTAAAAATCAATATTTGCTGTGGTAACCAATATTCTCAGTTTTAAATGATTATAAAACTATGTTTATAGTATTACAAATGTTAAAATCTTATTTTATGTTTGCTATGATTCTTTTGTATGCGCCAAATAAATATAGTTTGTCTTTTTTATTTTTTATATCTCTCAATTAATGAAATAGAGTTCTGCAAAATAACAGCCTATTAGATATAATACAGAATTCTCATCCTTTTGAAGAAATCACAGTCCACAACTGATATAGCAAGCTTGTCTTGGCGGCTGAAATAAGTGAGACTGAGGTACGCTGACCTTTTACAGTTTACAGTCTTTTTATATATGTGTTTTCTTCTAAAGAAAAGATATTCATTTGTTTTCGAAGTAATGTAGGAGCTACATAACAAGTCGGACGTTTTAATTATTACATATTATTACTGTTTTAAAATACAGTAATCGAAGAATATCTTATATATAAAATTCTCGTGCCAGTTTTCGTTCCCATACTCCTCCGAAACGGCTTGTCCGATTCTCATGAAATTTTGTGAGCGTATTGAGTAGGTCTGAGAATCGGCTAACATCTATTTTCCATCCCCCTAAATGTTAGGGGTAGTCCACCCCTAATTTTTTTTTATTTTAAGGCATAACGTTTGCCGGGACAGCTAGTATTTAATATAATCATCATAATCATATCAGGACAATTCACACAGCGCCGTCTAGACCCAAGTTAAGCTAGCTAAAGCTAGTGTTATGGGTACTAGATAACTGATACATATACATAGATATTTTTTTTGTAAATACATACATATTATACATAGAAAACACCCAGACCGATACAAACAATGATACTCATGAATACAAATGTTTGTGCCGTACGAGGAATCGAACCCGCGACCATCGGTCGTAAAGCGGTGTGCTAGACCGCTAGACGACCGAGGTCGTCAAATTATATATATATATATATTACGAATATAGTGACATAGTTTCGTGTTTTTCTACAATGTCAATAAACAGCTAGATGAATAATAAATATGACGTTGGTCTGTAAAAAATATCTACTTATAACACAATTACCTCTAGTAAAATACCCATTTTTTATACAATTTATATTATTATATTCGTGTGTTATATAATTTATAAGTAAAAATTTTATTTACTTGTATTTTTTGAGTGGCTCTCGTCAGTTCACTCAACGATGGTTTGGTTTTCTTGTATAACGCCAATGTGTGCTCTGCAGCAATCTCCCAAGGTTGGTCTGGTTGCACCTTTAAATTCTATAGAAAAATCAAACTATTAAAATGGGCATAAAGGAATATTATAATGTAACTAGCTACTCGCCCTGGCTTCGCCCGGGTGTACATGTATTATATATATAAACCTTCCTCTTGAATCACTCTATCTATTAAAAAAACCGCTTCAAAATCAGTAGCGTAGTTTTAAAGATAGCATACATAGAGACGGACAGACAGCGACAGCGACTTTATTTTATACTATGTAATGATAATGATGTATTAATATTGAGGGTAGTAGATAAATATATTTTTACAGTACACCGTCATTTGCAGTAGTTGGTATCGGCCATTAATAAAACGCTACCCGCGTATCATTGGATACATTACATATAATAACAATAATAAATGTACCTATATTTATTATTATACAGGAATAATTAAATATATTGAAATACAAATTTATTTATCTGTCTTACCTCTGTTTACTGAAAACATTTTGTATTTTATAATGTCGCTACTTCATTTTAATGAGACAATTATTGCATTTAGTAAATAGAAATAATCTATATTGAAATAAACTTAATATTAGCACTTTTGAACGGTCATAATTTTTGTAAATAGGTCTAGTCAGATAATTTGCATAAACAAATAATTTCTATTTAAAAAACGAACTTTTTAATAAGAGTTTGACAAGATTCTCATGTCAACAAATTTGGAAACGCTTTTTTATGGAAAACTATCCAGAGGACAGAGTTTTCACAAGTTTCTGTATTTATCCATATCATTAATATTAACACAAAAATTAAGAATGTTGTATTTTGGAGACATCATTAAAATATCATTATAATAAAATATCATAATTATCATTACTTGTTCCATTAACTTCTTTCTATACCAGTAATCTCGGTATGCATTTCTGGCAACCTGACATACTTTTGCAGCCATATCTTCATCTAGTGTTGCTCTCGTTAATATTTTCTTTAGTATTAAAGACTCTTTAATTTTTTCTGTAATAATAAATTACTAGATAGATATTTCTTACTCTTTCATGCACAAACTACTGTACGGATTTTGATGAAACTATACAGTAATATAGCTTATATGTTAGAATAACATATAGGCCATAAATTTCACGCGAGTGAAAGTGCGCGCTCAGCTAGTACATATAATAATAATAATAATAATAAATTTATTTCATTGACATAGATGTTTTACAATTTTTTTTTTACATATCAACAATCATATTCTTATTTATATATTTCCTTAAGCCGGGGCTGGGATCTCCTTGTAAAGATAATTAAATACTTGTGATAGGAGATCACGCTCTTCTAGGGTTATTTATTATTATATTAAGAATTTGTTTCTACTGTAAAAGACTGTGTGTGTGTGTGTCTATGTATGTAAGTGTGGAACATATATATATTATTTATGTATTAACAAACAGACCTAATTATGATTATTTTTTGTATTATACAGAATTAGAACTCGCAACTATCGACAAGTGAGGCAATGTAGTACTTTAAAGAAATACCTTTTCCTTCAGTCGGTTCGAACTCCACAATTTCTGTTTTGATGACCTGCGCCAAGGTTTCCGCTTGATTCCTCTCCATCCCTATCAGCAGTAGATGCTCTGAGACCGAAGGTCGGCAGTCACACAGATCATCCAAGATCCTCACAGCCAGGATGCCGTGTTCGCGAGTAATGAGCAATACAGACAGATAATTTGCTATAAAATCGAAGATCTTGTCCGGTTGTTCCCGTAGAACCTATTACAGGATAATGTAGGTATATAGGTATCTATATATTTTAAAAGTCCTGGGTCTGGCGGTTAAGCACACCGCTTTGCTTCTGATGGTCGCAGGTTCAATTCCTCGCGCGGTGTAAACATTTGTATTCATGAGTACGATTGTTTATATCGGTGTGGGTGTATTCTATGTATATTATGTATATATTTACAAAAAAAATATCTTAGAATTTATATCAGTTGTCCATACCATACTCATAACACAAGCTCTGCTTACCGTGGCACTAGATGGCGCTGTGTAAATTGTTCAGGGTTATTTATAATAAAAATTATATGAGGGATGTTTTAGGATTTAAGAGGATTGTTAGTAATGTGGACTAATGATTCCATTGCTATCAATGTACCAAGTCAGGTTGACTTCTACGCGATTTCCCCTGGACACAACCATGTGAAAATTGCCACGATGGGCTAACGGACCTGACCTCATGTCTTATCATCCTTCACTGGTGCCCCGACAGAGTAAACCGTCAGCCCTGGCGGAAACACCATTCCATAATTAATTATTACAAAAAGACTCTAAAGCACGTCCTGTTATATCCTCGTATAGAAATGATTTCTGTTAACAGTATAACAATAATACTAACAAACAAAACGATTGTTATAACCATTGCTTTTTTATAACTGTAACTAGAATGACTCTGTAGATAAAAGTAGATAAGATTTGACTTTATAGTAATTTAAAGTTTAGATGTAATGTAATTGATTAAGAAGTCAACACGGAGCTAACATGCTCACTATTCTGCTAAGCTCCTAAATATATAAAGAGAAAAAAAAGTCCAATATAAGATTCAGAAATTAAGATTAACTCGTGTTTGATTAAAGTATCCAATTATTTCAATAATATCATCTTAAATATTCTTTATTGCTCTTAAATACATTTTTAGATACATTAATTAGAACGAATGTTAACAAAGGAGGATTATTATCTTATCTCTAAAAGAGATCTCTTCCAGTCAACCCAATAGAGCGTGGCATAGAAAGTCTTGAGTGGGGTCAAATTGTGCAAATAATAACAAACATAAAAATGTAATGTCCAATCTTAGTCTTAGGCAAAAATCTATTTTTTATAAAGGCTTCTGGACTCAGCCGACTAACAGTTCGAGTAAAGGACGCTGGAAAGCGCGATTTCTTTTGCTGATGATGCTAATGCTGTTGGCCACAGCTGGCCTTTACAGCTTCACCGGACGATATGGGAATACACGAGTTAGCTGCGCGGCATGCGGTTTTTCTCGTCCTCTTTGTTTAGAAGAAAGAAGAAGAAAGAAAATATTTTATTCAGTGCAATTTTACATTTACACACACATATACACTCACTCACACACACACAAACATGCTCTAAGTCTCATAAATTATAAGTACTTATCATTTGTTTTATTTTATATTAGGTACTTGCTCCGGTTTCGCATGGGTGTACATGTATTATACATATAAACCTTCCTCTAGAATCACTATCTATTAAAAAAAGCGCTTCAATATCCGTTTCATAGTTTTAAAGATTTAAGCATACAAAGGGACGGACAGACGGCGACAGCGACTTTATTTTATACTATGTAATGATACATTGTCTTTCTCGAAATGTTCTTAATAGTAATTTAAATTTATTTTCCTTTGTTTTTACATATTTAATTTTTTGTATGCAATGCTCTGGAGATGGGCGCAAATAACTGCAACACAGTTTTTATAAACTAATGTAGTTGTTTACGTTTAACATGTTATTGTTAAATTTTGTTTTTGGTTTTAATAAATTCTTTAATTTACACGCACATTTTTTTCTTTACACGTAAAAGAAAATAAAAGCAGCTACTATCAGACACTCATTAGTTTCGAAATACTCGTGGCCGGCTATTGTTTTCGTAATGTAGATATTAAAAAACTATGACAGTAAATATGAGTACGTTTTAATACCAGTTAAGTAACATAATTACGTAACAAATATTACATTAAGTAATTAGTATTTGTGTAAGAATGTGATACGACATCATAGATTATCATTCAATATTGGCAGTCTTATATTTTAAACTAGCTGTACACGCGACTTCGTCCGCGTCGAATTTAACTTCATTTTTCTAAAAAAAAAGTAACCTAAGTTACTCCTTATTCCATCGGCTACCTGCCAAAAAAAGTCCCGACAAAATCGGTCCAGCCATTTCAGAGATTAGCCGCAATAAATAGACAGACAGAGAAAATATGTAAAAAATGTTATTTTGGTGTATGTACCGTATTTATAAGTATAGTAAGTTTATGAAATCTTAATGTTTGAAGTGGGTGGACCGATTTTGACGAGACTTTCACTGGCAGGTAGCTAATGTTATAAGGAGTACTTAGGCTACTTCTATTTAAGAAATTTTATGTATTTTAAATCCACGCGGTAATAGCTAGTAATACATAAAAACTATTTCAATCACCTTAAACCAATACCGCATCAAAATTTGTCCAGTCTATTGGGAGCTATGATAGCTACTATTTAGCTATCATAGCTCTCAACAGACCACTTAATAACACACGTCTTTCTTCACTGATGGTTAAAATAGAATAGAATAGAAAAATCTTTATTCAATTAAACTTAAATTTAAGCACTTTTGAATAGCCATACTTATGTTTTTTAATGTATCGCTCATTCGGAAATGTCTCATCACAAGAATAACGAGACTAAGGAAGAAAATTGCATGAGCAAAAAAAATAATTGTTGTAACTTTATATTTTTAAGTTGAAATGTGTGAATACAAACTACCAACTAGCAAATATAAATTTCAGTAAACATACCTCTCTTGTAATATCGGACATTAACTCTTTAAGTCCTTCAGGAACTGAAAACACGTTCGCACAACCATGCTTTTGAAGTATTTCGTTCATTGAAAAAGAAAATATTTCAAAGTTTATGCTGTCAGATATGTGTTTGTTGGACGGCGGCCATCTTGCATGCGTACGTCACAATGTTTTCTGTTTTTTTCTTTCTTGGTGACAAGCGTGAAATGAAAATTCACCTTTTTCGTGTTGCTATTTATTCTGGAAATATATTTGTGTGAACCGATTTCGATAATTTACGAAGCTATAGCTACTGATTAGATTATTTCCTTTTGACAAAAATGTAATAGCATATGGTGATGAATAAAAAAATTAAATAACTCCTGTGGAAAGTGTACACTATTCTGATGAGATAAAAACCATCGCTTCCAATAATATCCTTTTAATTCTTGTCCCTGACGGGTGTAGGTAGCGAACTTTGAAAAAGGGCGAATCGCAGCGCTACAGGTTAACACCTTACAATAACCCAAAACCCTCAATATGCTGGTGGTTACTACATTTTCTCTTGAAATTAAAATTGAATCTGTATATTTGTAACCATTTACAAGCTCATTTGAAAAGAATAAGAGCTCGAAAGCAATCCGAACTGAAGGAAGATTTGACATATCATAAAAGCCTGTAATATACCTGCCTGAATAAAGATATTATGTGTTTAATTGAAGCACTATATTTAAAAAAATCATTTTAAATTAAAAGTAATTCTTGTGTTCAGAAATCATTATACTATATGTGTTACAAATAAACATATAATTGTTTGATTTTAAAATTTCATTATTTTTCCAAATACCTATTTAGAAATCTCATAGCCCTAATTTCAATAAAAAAATTTCAATATTTTAACTAAATACAGATTATATGATATAATAATTGTTTCTTGGAAGATGGAAACAAACTGTATTGTTAACAAAATTTTCTTATAAAATTTGAACTTTACTGCAAAGAGATAAGAATGTTCGTAAAGTAGACAATCGCAATTGTACACTACGACTCCACGATGCGTAATTCATTCCAGTGCGCTGCAAGTAACAGAGCAGTCGTCAATGTTATTATAAAAATGTCCGATAAGAACACGTGTTGAATATGATAAGTTATTGTGTAAATATTAGTGATAATATCAACGGAAAGAAGCTTCAATTGTGAAAAGTGTGTTAGATTAGGTTACCGTTGTGTATCGTCGAATATAGTTCGTAATTTATAACAAAATAATTTTAATATGAAACAATAACACTTTTTTTTAAATAACATTTCAATACTTCCTGTGTCTTGAAATCGCGTTCGTTTTTCAAAATTTAATAAGTATTTCATAAAGTTGTTTATGGTAGCGTCGTGAATGTTTTGATTTTTAAATTTTAAATTTCGAATCACAAAAATGGAGGCAACTACAGCAAAAGCGATCGCCATGTTGACATTGGGATTCGGGAGTTTTGCGACTGGAATGATACCAGCTTGCTTCACAGAGAATGCGCGGCAAAAACACCCGCTCTCCATATCATGTTTACTCTGTTTTGGGGCGGGTGTACTTCTGGCGACGTCGATGGTCCATATGCTCCCTGAAGCGCGGGAAGACCTGCCCGATTTATCGGAGTTGATGTTGTGCATTGGCTTCTTTCTAGTGTATTTTGTAGATGAGATTGTTCATTTGTTTTACCGAGCCGGCAATGAACATCATGGACATGACGAAACTCATTATCAGGGACGATATGGGAGTAGTGAGGTGACGGGATTATTGAGTTCGAACAGGAATGCGAGAACTGAGGATGGGGAGATGGGGAGATGTTGTGGGGATACTGGCAACCCCAGGATGTGTCACGTGAGCCACACACCCCCGTGTAATAGGAGTTTTTCGGGGGTAATTGGACTGTTGTGTGCATTGTTTGTACACAGTTTTCTGGAGGGATTGGCGATTGGTCTGCAAGAAACGTCTACTCAGGTAAGAGCTTAGAATATGATTTTTATTTTAGTTATTTATGTCAGTACATATAAACAGTGTATATAATAATATATATATGTCTATCTATACATTGGTATAAATAAAATTGACGTGTCTGTTTGTAATATTGAAATAATCGTTTTTTACTACACGCATATGAATATAAATACGGTACAAACAACAAAATATATTATTTTACAATTTTTGTCTGTATGTCTGTTTGTTCCGGGTAATCTCTGAAATGGCTGGACCGATTTTGACGGGACTTTTATTGGCAATTAGCTGATATAATAAGGAGTAACTTAGGCAACTTTTATTTTAGGAAAATAAAGTTAAATTCCACGCGGACGAATTCGCGGGTACATCTAGTTCTTTATAAATTAAACATCTGTATTATTATACTAATCTGTGACTACAAAACAACAAACATATATATACACAACATAGACAAAATGACATACAATACTAGTGTGAACGCACTAGTCTCAAAATGTAAAAGTATTTTTCAAATCTAACTGGCAGTTTCAACCAGTGAAAATAAAAAAAAACATCTTTTTACATTCTATAGTTCAACATAAGCTATATATAACATCACATCACGCTATAAATATTGGGAGTAGAGCATAAAGAACAAAATTAATTAAATTACGAGTTCAAGGGAAATAGGTCTGAATGTTTATTATTAGACCATCCAAATAATTGAAAAGGTCGTGCACTTTTTATATGAAATGATAGTAATAATTTCATAAACATGTTACTAACATTAAGTCACTTTAAATTCATACATTTTTATATGTCGATTAGACTGAATGTAAGGCATACCTCAAGGGGGATTGTAAGTAATGTAGAAGGGTTTACCTCCACGCGGTTCCCTCAGCAAACATCTTGATTTAATTCTTGACCCCTTTGAAACCATCAAGATAACCCCCACCACAGTGGGAGATATAGAGAGAGAGAGAAATCCTATCTCGACCAAAGTGTGCGTATCTCATTGTTAGCAATGTACCATGTCAGGTTGACCTCCACGCGGTTCCCTCTGGAAACCGTCGTGATACATTCCCGGTGAATTTGTCACGTTGGGCTAACTGACCTGACTTCATGTTCATCTTGTCATCCTCCACTGGTGCCCCGCCAGCGTAAACCGTTAGCGCTGGCTGGTGCATCATTTCATTATCATACTCATCTTTATACTTTTACATACAAATAAATTATGCAAAAATACTTTATTTTCAACCTTTACTGTGATGCGTAAAACTAAATACTCATTATGGTTACTTAACGATTTATAATTACTGAACGAAATGTTAGATGTCAATTGTGAGTTGTGACATTTGTTACAGCTCTAGTGTTAACTGCAAACAAAAATACGATTTTAAAGCAATAAAACATTGAATTTGAAAAATAGTTTCTTTTTTCCTAATACTTTATTTTTTTTTCTATACGAACCAATTTATACAATTTTTTTTTTAACCAAAAGAGGTTGGCAACCCTATATGCACTACATGCGCAGCAGAATAATTCAACATATATTAAGTAATATATAAATAAATAACCCAGTATCCTTAGATAAATAATGATAACAGAATTATGTAGGTTGAATGTACATACATATCTCACCAGGTGAGTACGCCCTACCCACTTGAATAAAATAAAAATTAGCATGATTCAATAATAATAACTCATTTATCATAATGATAATAATAAACCTGAATTCGTACAGCGCCACCTAGTCCCAAGCGAAGTTGAGTTTGTATTATCCTATAATACAAACTCAACTTCGCTTCAATACCTAGTATTATAAATGTTGAAATTATTACTCTGCGTTCTATGTTTAGTAGTCTATGGTGTGACTATAATTCTGTATGCCTTTTGTGTTGTTTAAAATTTATGGTTGAATATTAATAGTATTGTTAAGATTTTTGCTCTGCGTTTTTGGTGCTAAGATATCCAAGACTACATGGAAACGATTTATCAAGACCTATAGCATTTACATTAACTCAAAAAGAAAGGGACAAACTGGAAGCTTTTGAAATGTGTTCCTGGAGAAGGATGGAAAGAATTAGCTGGAAAGATGAAGTAAGAAATGAAGAAGGGTGAAAGAAAAACGGCAGATATTTAATGTTATGGAAAATAGACGAGGAAAAATGTTAGGACACTTGATACGGTACGATGAAAAAATAGAACACTACCCGGACAATTAAAAAACAAAATTATATATTTATTTATTTATTGGAGTATCACAAAAATATAAACCACATGCATACAGAGTGTGGTTGAGTTTTTACAATTTTTTTTGTAACGCCCTGAAAGGGCACGGCAATATGACACAACATACCTATATTATATATATATTCATATACAACAGGACCTCATAATATTATAATTGAAATGTCAAAAATGTTTATACAATATATAATAAATGTAAATTACAAAATATCATTAAAAAACTAAAAACTTTCCTATTGAAAGTCAATCATTATAATGCCAATGTCTGTATTAAGCCATAACTATAATTTTTCATTGAAATATTCATTAATATTGTAATATATTTTATTGAGAAGGAATTGTTTCAATATTTTATCAAATTGTCTATGTTTATTATATTGACATTCTATATTTTTTTATATATTTTTTTGAGGAGCGGACCAAGTCAGTTTTAACAAATTGTTATTGGATTTAACATATTTATAAAAATCAATACAATTATAATTGTAAGTGATGACGGTCATCAACTCGCTTTTTATTAAATTAGGGGTAAGAACGTTGCGTGCCTGAGTATTTTTGTGTAGCGTATCGACGGGTTTAATCATAAAAACGGAGCACTAAACTAAGACTAAAATACGGTACGTCCCGGGAAATACGGGACGTCTAGCAACGCTAGTTGGCAACGCTCACGTAACACCTCTGGTGTCTCAGGCGTCCATAGGCTACGGTAACCATTTACCATCGGATGGGCCGCGTGCTAGTTTAACACCATCGTAGTAAAAAACCAGTGGTCTTTTAAGAGGGGATTCTGTACACGGAAATTTATGAAATGGCAGTGCACCTATACAACTTTAAACCAGTTTCTGATTGTTGTTTTTTACGTTTGCTCTAGTGCACAACGTCCTACGCTTTCGAGATAGTATAACCTTGGACTTGTATGCCCTTAAACTTTAAACAACTATAAGAATAAGACTAAACTTTTTTCCTACATAATTGACAGCGCCATCTAGTCGAATAGTAAGCAGAGCTTGTGTTATGGGTACTACACAACTGGTATAAATACTTAGAATTTTGTAAATACATACATAATATACATAGAAAACACCCATACTAATACAATCATACTCATAAATACACCGTTTGCACCGTGCGAGGAATCGAACCCGCGACCATCAGTAGCTGTCGTAGCCGGTTTGCTAAACCGCTAGACTCCGGAAGCCTTCAGAAAGTGTTCATTTATAATATCTTTGAGTTTTTGAGTCAGCGTCGCCCAAACAGTTGTTTTATTATTTGAACTCAATTCGCCTAATGTATTTAACAATGATCAATTTATTAGTCATTTCTGTACCATCTAGTTATTAATATGTCAAGGACAATCATTAATTCTTTGTAGTCTGTTGTAAATGTACAATATATTATACGATTTCTGTAGAAACGTGTATTTATGTGTATATAGTTTATATGTATATAGGTAGATAAGTATTAAAAAAAACTGATATCTTGGCAACAAACTGTTCTGCAGTTTGGCGAGTCAATATATAAAAATAACTCTAATAAAAGTACTCTTATATAAATTAAAAAATAAAATATTTAACACGTTAAGGACCACATGCCCACTGGTGGATCACTCCGCAACGAAAGTAAATTTACATATTGGGATCGGGTGATCATCCGTGGGCAATTTAATTGAAATAAATCTAAGGGTTAAATAATGTCTACCTCAATTTATTGTACGCTAAAAACAAAATTTTAAATATAATATATTTCATTGACAATAAAGAAATGCTCATTCGAAAAGCTGTTTCATCAAAAGCAGAACGAGCAAGAAACTTGCGTGTTGCTATTTTAAATAATCATTGTAACTTTACATTTCCAATTCTAAGAGTGCGAATATAAACTAGCACTAATTTACTAAGGTCAGATATTAAATACACAATAGGATAAAAACAGTCGTAGTGATTACAGATAATTAATATTAAATTACTTTTCCGATAGGTACTTAAATATTTTTTATTTTATTTACAGGTCCTATTAATCCTTGGTGCTGTGTGCGCACATAAATTCGTAGTGGGCTTTTGTCTGGGCGCTGAAATTTGTGCGAGCGCACCGGGACGTTTGTGCGCACATATAGTCAGCGTGTCCCTGTTCAGCGGTGGCTCGGTTGCAGGCATCGCTGCCGGAGCTGGTTTGGAAACTGTTCGCGCTATCCAGGACTCAATAGCTGTGCCTGTTATGCAGGTAAGGTTCTAATAATAATATAATTTCAGGACAATTCACACAGCGCCATCTAGTCCCAATTTAAGCTGGCTAAAGCGTGTGTTATGGGTACTAGATAACTGATACAAATACATAGATATATTGTTTTATGTTATCTGTGGTTATACATACATATTATATGTAGAATATAGAAAACTCTCAGACCGATACAAACAATCATACTCATTAATACAAATGTTTAGTAATTGAACCCACGACCATCGGAAATAAGGCGGTGTGCTAAACTGCTGGACCACTGAGGCCGTCTAATTATTTCCGTTATTGTATGTATGCCATGTATTAATAAAATATCTTGTCAAATGATTGTGTTTTATCAGCGTATCGCTGTTCAAATGTTCAGTAGTGTCTTGCAGTGGCTTCAAACTGTCCGCGCTGTCAAGGGCTCGATAGCTGTTCCTGTAATGCGGGTGATGTTCAATTATTACCTTTATTGTATATATATATTAATGCTAGGCATAACATAGAAGAATAATTAAAGAATTTATTCAAAATAAATAAAATATCTTGAAATTAAAAATAAGGAAAATATTTGTGTCTTGTCACCATATCGCAGTTCAGCAGTGTCTTACAAACTGTCCGCGCTGTCATTTTTAAATTGTTCTCTTTATTTAATTTGTGCGAGCGTCTTTATGTGTTTATGTGCACATGTAGTCAGCGGTGGCTCGAAGCTGACTTGAAAACTGTTCACGTATGTGTCTTGTATTTATATTTTCAGGCATTAGCTGCGGGTACGTTACTGTACGTGACAGTAAGTGAGGTGCTGCCCCGCGAGAGGGCGCGCTGGCACGAACGCAAACGCAGCGCTGGAGTCGCCCAGTTCATAGCTGTCGGAGTCGGGTTTACAGTCATGTACTTTTCAATGAAATACTTTGGTAAGTAAATACAAGTTTTTCCAAGTTAAATATTATAGATATAATTATAAAATCTATTCAGGATAGGATCAGGATCTTACTACGGTTTATTTATTTTCAATGAGTTCCCGATATTTCGGCAGTGTTTCAACCTATATGATCTTGGTAAACAGTTTACCATACCATTTATTTAAAAAGAAATAAAACGTAAGTTTTCCAAATTATACGTATAAATAAATTGTCCAATTTATATATTATATCAAACACTATATATCATTGGCTGGAATATATATATGTATATATATATATATATATATATGTATATAAATATATATATGTTACACCAGACAGACAATACCATCAGAACCAAAGAATGTTTAGCGTCTATATTGTTACCGCTATTATTTATGTTTATGTTGTGTTCTTGTAGCAGCAGCGGAAAAGAAGGAGGTGAAATGATGAGTCCAGATTGTTATTATGTACATATTTATAATTACGAAATATTTACAATGAATATATAGGTATGTACAAGAAAGTAATTCGGTCTCGAATGACAAGCTTGTTATTCTTCTTGCCCCATCGTAACTAGGCAACGGTGTTGCCGCACGATGATAGTAGATTCGCCACAAATGTGTAGCTTACTTATACTCTATGGTCACATATTCTATTTGAACATTATGATTTAGTTAGTGCTAATTGGTGGTTTGTATTCACACACTTAAACTTAAAACTGTAAAGTAATAATAAAATTATTTAAAAGAGCAACACGCAAGTTTCTTGCTCGTTCATCTTGTGGTGAGACAGCTTTCCGAACGAGCGGTAGATTAAAAAAAATGTCGCGGCGTTGTCTCAGGGGCGTCGAGCTTCATTGCAACATTGCAACCGAGTCTTCACATTAACCAAGCAGTTACATAAATATCTTTTTATTGTTGTGCTTATATTTTGAGTTCTAATTGTCTAATATAAATTATAAATGTTCAAATAGTGTTTTTCTGTTAACCTATTACTAGACTAATACTAAAATTGATAAGTTTTTTTTGGGGGCTGGGTTAAGGGGCGTCGCAAAAAAATAGCAAAGTCCCAAGGGCGTCACGATACGAATAAGTTTGGGAAGCCCTGTTATAGGTCTATAGATTGTGGCAATAGCCTAAACCCCTCACGAAAAAACAGCATTGTACATTTTTTTTTTAAATAGAATAGAATAGAAAATCCTTTATTGAAATAAACTTAATTTAACCACTTTTGAATAGTCACCATATGCTTCTTTTAATCTACCGTTCATTCGGAGAGCTTTCTCATCACAAGAAACTTGCATGTTGCTCTTTTAAATAGTCATTGTAACTTTACATAGCGTGTACTAACTATGAAATCAATGCAGTTAATATCCTATGAAATTTCCAGCACAGTCATTTTACACGTTTTTAGTATCACTACTAGTTAACAGATGGCGCTATTCTACTATTGGGTACTAATCTAGAGACCCAGCAGATTGCTTTATAATTTGTTGAATAGTTGAGTTAAAGCAGTGGGATTATAAAATACGCTTGACATCTTAGTGCTCAACAATGGGAATGCATGAACAGTTGTTACATCTTTACATATAAGTAAAATTGGAGTGTCTGTTTGTAATATTGAAATAACCGTTTTTTACTACATGCACATGAATATAAACACGGTACATACACCAAAATAAAATATTTTACATTTTTTTGTCTATTTGTCGGTTTTTCCTGTTAATCTCTGAAATGGCTAGACCGATTTTGACGGTACTTTGCCATTATATTAAAGATATTGTATATGATATTAATAGACCACTAGTAATATAAGTGTATAAAAATAAATTTAAATAGAATAATAATAATAATAATTAATATTATTGTTTCAGACAATGACGGATAATGTAAGGAGATATTACATTAAGTAATTATATATTAATATAGGATATGACTACAATAATTATTACGACAATAAAACAAATTTTAGCTATTTCTGATTTTTATTTTATTTAATATTTGTATTTGATGTCAACAATATTTTTTATAGTAGTTTGAGATGGATCAGTGGTATAATTATTACAGATTTAAAGATAATATGCACATTTTGATAACTTCGCAGTGAAACGTAGTTATAAAAAAAAGGAATACGTCGGAGAAGTGAAACTTCAACGGACTGCCGTTGTCTTCTCTCCGCCGCCACCAGTTCTCTTTCTCTTACAACGCTATATATCGTTTACTCCCTCCACGTGACGGAAACACTTTTGTGGCCGAACAATCCTATATAGAAGTTTCACTTCAAAAATTACATAATGTGAATACTTTTGTACCTTGTCACAATAACGATTTATTAGTATAATGAAATCGATATATTGTAGTCATCCACAATGTCACTATGTCACATGTGACAAAGTGCTAAAGTATTATAGTATTTATTGCTTCTGACTGTACTAGTAACATGGTTGTGATGTCTTTATATATTAACAAGTACACAGTTATGGAATAGTCAATGACGAAATGTAATTAATTTAGTACTATATACAAAAACTACTTAACCAGATTAAGCGATGAAAACCTATAAAAGCTATCATGAGTCATGGCACTGATGAAATAATATTGGGATTATCGACATTTATGCATCTTTGGACTGGCATTTAGCAACGATTTAGAAGTACCACTATTACACGCTAGATGGCGCTGACTCGACGTTCGTCTAAGCAGCAACAGATGGCGCTGTACCATTAAATAATACAAAAATAATAATTATTCTTGCTATTAAACATCTAAATGCATAAAATAATCTCAGTCCACAATACTATTTATGTTATTATATACATTAATACATTTCATGGAAGCGATTTCAGCGTAAAACTAATATTCATACAGAATATGGGAATACCTCGTATTAAACAGTATAAATAAATGTATTAATTCTTAAAATACATACAACTAAAATTTAAATACAATAAAAGTATTACAAAATAGAAAATAATACAGATCTTTGACTCGATGTACTTATGTCTACAGAGTACGTACGTTACAGATAATAACAAAATTATAAATTGTTAAGTTTGAATAAATATACTTAAATTTATTTATTTTAAAGGGAAGAGAGCATTATGACAATCGGCACATTTGGAAGACTTCTCTGCGCGCTGACACTGTATTTTATATATTATATAAATTATTTAATAATAACTATTATTAATGAATTCAGTAATAAAGTAATTACTATATAATTAAATAATATGAACGGCCTCGGTGGTGTAGAGGTTAAGTTCGCCTTACTTCAAATGATCACGCGTTCAATTCTTCCACGATACAAATATTTATATGCATAACTATGAATTTACAAAAATAAATACATTTAAGTTGTTTAGTATCTATAGTACAACTTTTATTTAGGTTGGGACTGAGTGAATTGTCCTGAGTTATTATTATTAATAATACTGTATTACTTATAGTAGGTTCTTTTTAATTATTACAAACTGAAATTGTAATTAATTATACAAGTGTTGTATTATTAAAAATCACAAAAAAATGTTAAACAAAATAATACTAAATATTGAAATCAGGTCTTAATAATTAAGATTATTACTAGTTCCTGTCCCATCTTAAAGTTATAGTCAAGAAAGTCAAAAGCATAAGTTAATGTGTCAATTTAATAGAACAATACATTCCAGATTTGGATAAATGCATTCAATTTTATATAACAAAGATGAACAGTTAGTTTATCATTGTGATAGAAAATTGAATTGAATTCTTAGATATTATTCAACTGTCAAAAAAATTTTAATTCGTAAAGTAAACAAAATAATTTCTTTTTTTTACTTTCGTTCCTTATTAGTTTTTAAAAATATATTTTTCAATCAATTAATATAAACTATCTCAGTAATTTAGAATATTTATTCTCCTTTTCAATTAAAAAAAGATATATGATTTTATCAAATGTGGGAAAATTTTAAAATTACTTTTTTAATATCAATCAATACCAATACCAATACAATCAATATCATGATTTGATTATGACTGTTAATAACCTTTTGTCAAAATGAGCTATAGATATTTTGATAAGTAAACATTTATTTGCGACTTCACTTTTATTATACATATTGGTATCTACTGACTGAATACTAAATGTATCGTATGGGCATGTAATGCGAAGGAATGAAGGTTATATCTTAAGGAAGGTGCTACATATGAATGTGGATGGTTATAAGGGCAGAGGAAGACCGAATGAGATGGATGGACTGTGTGAAAGATGATATGGTAAGAAAGGAAGTAAATAACGAAATGACGGCGAACAGGGATGAATGGAAGAGAAAACATATTACGCCGACCACAAATAAATGGGAAAAGGAAGAAGCAGATGATAATGATGGTAGCTATTAACTTTTCACGTTTTCTGAACTTCCGAGCATATACATGTAGTTAACGATTGTCCTCTTTTTGTTATATGTATTTATTTTTGACTATTGTTTTATATATACGTTTTTTGAAGTTCTAACTGAACTCATAGGTATTGCTGGCGAATGACGTCTTTTTGTAATTATGTACTTATTTTTTTATGTATTATTTTTGACTTTGATGTTTTTTGTTTTACTTTTAAGCTTGTAACAAATACACTACTGTAAATAAGATTGGTGACTTATTCTAAGCAATTAAGATATTCTGCCATTGTTAGCCATATTGTATGTCATGTCAGAAACGCAGAGAAGTTATTCTATACAAGTTTACACGTTGATCACATTCGGTAACTAATAAAATTATATATCATCAACGTACACGGTATAACATTGTTAATATTATTCATAATTATATTATGTATTTGTATCAGGTTGCTTTATAACAATAGAGTTGCCAACCGTCCTGTTTTCTCAGGACATGTCCTAGTTTCTGAAGTGTCCTGCGAAGTCCTGAATAGTTATTTGGCAGCGTCGTAGGTTTTTATAATATGTGTGCCTCTTAATTACTGATTTGCAGCAGTATAATTTTATCAAACACTTTTGTTAAAAATCTGATTATATTAATTACTTGAATTTTACTTAATACAACTATTGCAACACTATTTCTGCGTTCTGTTTTTAAACAGGATAGTCCTGGTGTTTTGAACTTACAATTCTGATATTTGAAATTTGGACTTAGCAACCCTATAATAAATGAATGTCTTATAAGATTGGCGTGCACACTGCGCGAAGCCCCGTGCTCAGATTGGACTTTACAAATTTAATTGATAATTAACAATACTAAATGTTTTTAATACACAATTGCTTATTTAGAGCAGAATGTAATTTACTGAGTAAAAAAGAGAAAAAACTTAAAAGAAGGATGAAGTAAAATGAACATTTTTAATTTAAACGTAAATCGCAAATGATATCAAATTTGACAACTATCAATATAAGTCTATAAATATAAATTTCAATAGAATAATAATTAACATTATTGTTTCAGACACTGACGGATAATGTAAGGAGATATTACATTAAGTAATTATATATTAATATAGTATATGACTACAATAATTATTACGACAATAAACAAATTTTAGCTATTTCTGATTTTTATTTTATTTAATATATTGTATTAAATTCGCAAATTTGATATCAATAAGGAAAGTAATAATCGATACGAGCGATCGATTATGATGTTAATAATAATGTTTTGGCGCCAATTACTTTATCTGCTCCATCTTGGTTTGGAAATATTTATAATGGCAACATTGAAAGTAATTGTGATGTAACTTACAATTGATCACTTTAAACATGTGAGCGTGATGTATACGTATTAGCTACTTAACATGTATGTGTGTATAAATATAAAAATCGCATAGATTCATCGCAATATTTAACATTTTAATGTATTATAAGGCACGGTATTTCATTTCATAAGATCGCTGACACTAATACTAAAACAATGAAGCGTAATTAAATAGACGTAATTTTCCAAAAATAAATACAGTAAAATACACCGATAGTCGCCAGCGAGACCACTTGTACAATATCGGTAACGTAAATATCGATCAGACTGTACTTCCATCTGATAGACAAGAGTTTCAACTTGACAATTGTAGTGTCGACCAAATGCAAGTACAGCCAACCACGTAATACTAAACCGGGAAGTTTTAATTTGTTCAATATCCCACTTACATCACTAGGACACAACTAACATCAGGTTTCGTCTTCTTCCTCGAGTCTCTTGTTTTTCCTCCTCTGCCGATGTCGCTCTAGCCGCTTCTTGTGGGCCGTTTTCCGTTTAGGAGTTATTTGGCACTCGCAACCTGCACGCACTTTAACATAGTCCATCGACCAGTCCCCGGAGCCGGGGACCGCGAAGTGGCCCTCGGTCCTCGGATGGGGCATCTCCGTGGTGGTCGTATACCGCACTAAAGCATATGAGTATGAGTATTTTTGAACGCACCTCGATTGGTTATACACTCGCGGGTCTACGAAGCGACATGGTCGGTCGACCACTTCAGGAGCACACGACAGTTCATACAACCGCTGTTTGTTCTCACCGTCCTCGTATAACTCTACGTAGAGGCCGCCGAAGGTACGCCCGCCCTTTTTGGCCACCATTTCGAGGACGGAGGGGCAGCACTCGACCACCTCCCGCTCTCGGCGCAAGATGGAGCTCATCTCGCGCCAGTGGGAGCGTCTCCACGCCGCTGTTGAGTCCAGCTCTTCGTCCGTCCTGGAATAAATAAATTATTTGTGACACACAGGTAATATAAGTACACAGGTCGTAAGATTCAGTAACGGGCACGAAACTCCTCTGGTGTTTCAGGATACGGTAACCGTTTCGAGGGTAGGTACCACGCACGTGACGCAGATGTCCATAGGCTACGGTAACCGTTCCCCATCAGATGGGCCGTATGCTTGTCACCATTGTAGTCTAAAAAAAATTTGGTCGTATATATCTTTTTATATACATGGAATGGCAAATTAAACAAGCTGAAGATACACGTGATGGTAGGTGGCAACCGTTAACTATAATAATTATTCTTGGTTAATTCACACAGCGCCATCTAGTCCAAAACTAAGCAGAGCTTGTGTTATGTGTACTAGAAAACTGATATAAATTCATTTTTTGTAAATACATACAAAACAGTCAAACCCATATAAACAATCATACTCACGAATACAAACGTTTGTACTGTGCGAGGAATCGAACCCGAGACTATCAGAAGAAAAGCGGTGTGCTAAATCGCTAGATATTTGAGATTGTCATAGACATCACGTTATCATCTGATACCACTCTCGGTTGACATTCGGGATCTTTTACCCTTTTAACTTCCTCAGACTAAAGTCTAAAAAAATCTAAGTATATGTATCAGTTGTCTACCTACCCATAACACAAGCTCTGCTTAACGTGGGACTAGATGGCGCTGTGTTAATTATGAATTGAAAGGGTTCTTTATTTATTTATCACCAGCTGTTCCCGCGACTTCGTCCGCGTGGCATTTAACTTTATTTTTCTAAAATAAAACTTAGGCTAAGTTACGCCTTATTACATCAGCTACCTGCCAAAAAAAGTCCCGTCGAAATCGGTCCAGCCATTTAGAGATTTGCCGGAACAAACAGATAGACAGACAAAAATTGGTAAAAATATTATTTTGGTGTATGTACCGTATATATTCATATGCATGTAGTAAAAAACGGTTATTTCAATATTACAAGCAGACACTCCAATTTTATTTATATGTATAGTTTATATTTATTAGAGCTATGTAATCTCGCATATGACTTATTGTAATACGATATGGTTATAATATTTCTATGCTACCAAACGATAGTATTAAATAAATAGCCATAACTGTCTAATACTTTCCAAAACGATTCCAGTATGGAATTAGTTGTGACATTAACACTTGCACTTGTTCATCGTTACGCCCACGCGTTAACACGCCTGCGACATTTTACTACTATCACATATCAGGTATCATATCACAATAAAGTCGCAGGACTTTATTTTTTTTATGTGTGATTATGGAATGGTGTACCCGCCTGCGCTAACGGTTTACGCTGGCGGGGCACCAGTGGAGGATGATAAGATGAGCATGAGGTCAGGTCAGTTAGCCCATCGTGACAAATTCACCAAGAATTTATCACGATGTTTTCCAGGGGGAAGCGCGTGGAGGTCAACCTGACTTGGTACATTGCTAGCAATGGAATCATCAGTCCACATTACTAACAATCCCCTTTCCCTCCCGCAGGGGATATCTAGCTAGGGGGGGGGGCTATCACATATCAGGTATCATATCACAATAAAGTCGCAGGACTTTATTTTTTTTATGTGTGATTATGGAATGGTGTACCCGCCTGCGCTAACGGTTTACGCTGGCGGGGCGGGGCACCAGTGGAGGATGATAAGATGAGCATGAGGTCAGGTCAGTTAGCCTATCGTGACAAATTCACCAAAAATTTATCACGATGGTTTCCAGGGGGAAGCGCGTGGAGGTCAACCTGACATGGTACATGGCACATGGTGCAGGCGGGTGCAACATTCCATTATCATCCTTTAAAAAAAAACACGAAGGTAGGGAAAAAAAAATTGTTGATTATAGGCTCATCCGTCATACTCGTGAACGGGTGCTGCTCGTGGGGACTGGTCTGTTCAGAATACGAACACTGATTAGACTTTTTGCTTTTGCAATAGCATATGCTGGTGGTCACTTTATTCTCCCAAATTTGAATTTAAATGAATCAATCATTTATTTGAATTGAATACGAGCTGAGTTTCTTGTCAGATCTTCTCATCTGAAATCATTCTGTATTGACGCTAAATTTGCAATATCATAAGAGTCTGTAATAGAGCTACATGAATAAAGATATTTTGAAATTTTGAATTAATAATTATACAAAAATACTTGACGTTCAATAGCGGCTAAAATGTCCTACTTAAATAAATTATTTTTGATTTGATTTGATTTGATTTGATTTGATACTCACTGCATGCGGTGTGGATGGTGTTGTTGGGGCGAGTGACGAACACGGCTCACGTTGGCCATCACCTCGCCCGCGCCCCCCACTGCACCACACAGCACCTGAAACCATAGATTGCATCTCTGTACACCTTCCCTTAATAGTACAATTAAACAAATATGTTAAATAAACATAAATAAATTAGTAGGAGCAATATGAATAATAATAATCTCAGGACAATTCACACAGCGCCATCTATACCCAAGTTAAGCTAACTAAAGCTTGTGGGTACTAGATAACTGATACAAATAAATAGATATTTTTTTCTAAATACATACATATTATACATAGAAAACACCCAGGCTGACACAAACAATCATACTCGTGAATACAAAAGTTTGTACCTTGCGAGAAATCGACTCGCGACCATTTGTTTTCTATGTATATACATAAATTACGTATGTATTTACAAATAAAATGTATTTATGTACTTATATATGTACCATAACACAAGCTCTGCCTAGTCTGGGTCTTGAAATGACGATGCGTGAATTAACTTGAGTTAATATGAAAATTTCATGTAACCTATTAATTGTCTTGACCCTAGCAAGGAATTTATGATTTGCGAGTTCAAATCACAAATTCCTAGATCTACAATCGTGATAGTAGTCGTAATTAATGCTAGTGTACTAATTATGATCAATATCACATATACAAACGTTATAAATAGTCCGTTATTGCTTGCGTATCTAACTACGATAAGTATATTCAATACATCACTATATCTCCTGATTTCGAGACTGATAATATTAACAATAAGGGTAATTACAATACAAAGCATGTAATTAATCAATTTGTTGACCTCAGTAGTCTTTTGGTTTAGTATACTTCCTTACGTAGCTTCGATTCTCGCTCGATACAAATATTGGTGTTTTCTATGTACATTACGTATGTATTTACAATAAATTTTGTATCAGCTATTTAGTCTCCATAGTACAAGCTTGTGAATTGTGCTAGGTTATTATTATTATTACCATCGTCATCATATTTATCTCTCTTTTCTTAGTTTCCGCCGGTTTTATGTTATAATTAGTTTTATTCCTTTTTCCTTCTTCAAAGTAATTTGATGTTTTATCAATTTTGAGTAACGAGTCACGCCAATCAATTAATTCTATTACCTTCATGTCTTTATAGAGTTTACAATATACATTTTTACTATTATTAATTTCCAATTTAAAACGTACTCTGGCAAAACTCGAAGTGACTCCCGCTGTGCTTAATTACTGTATCACAACCAAGATATATTTTAGTTGTGCTACATTATGCTTGTTATATTATAGCGTTGATTTTCAGTTAAAGTCCTTCATCAGTATTCATTGAACATTCCTCATAAGCGTTTATATATATATTTATTATATGTATATTTGTAGTCAGCACAAATGTCATCTTCTTCCCTATCAGTCTTCATGTCTGAGCTTACTTTCCTCTTATACATGTTATCTTCCACACAATCCCTCCATATGACGACCTCGGTGGTCTAGCGGTCAAGCACACCGCTTTACGACCGATGGTCGCGAGTTCGATTCCTCGCACGGCACAAACATTTGTATTCATGAGTATGATTGTTTGTATCGGTCTGGGTGTTTTCTATATATTTATGTATTTACAAAAAAAATATCTATGTATATGTATCAGTTATCTAGTACCCATAACACAAGCTCTAGCTAGCTTAACTTGAGTCTGGATGGCGCTGTGTGAATTGTCCTGAGTTTATTATTATTATTATTATTATTATATTTTTTATTTTGATCATCCTCGTCCTTTCCATTGAAGACTTTCATTAAAGTTTTTCTTCACTTATCATCATCTGCTTCTTCCTTATCCTATTTATTTGGTCGGTGTAATGTTTTTCTCTTCCATTCATCACTGATCGTAGTCATCTCGTTATTGACTTATATATTTATAAATCTTTCTAAAACTCTATCTTTCAGTACCATATATACCTACGTGCGTAAACCACGTTCGTTTTATTTAAAAACTGCGACTCAAATCGCCTTAACAATGTTATGAAACGACGTCTTGTAATATGTTACAAAGATACATTACAGATATGTTCGTATATTAATTTCATTCATAATAATACACACGTAAGGTTGAATATTAAATGTTTGCAGCATTAGCATAATCGAGTTGCAGACGAAACAAGCGATTTACGCGCGTCAAAACAACGATTAAGTTTAGATTTCGAGACGAATATGAATCCATTGTTATTAGTAATGGGAATTTATGTTAATGGATATTTTATCTTTGAATGTAATGGACTGACTTCTGGTGAGTTTCTTATGACTCATTCAAACTTAGTATTGTTAACTAAATAATAAGCCCACTTCTTACTAATATTATAAAAACGAAAGTTTGTGAGTATGGATGCATAGATATATGAATGTTTGTTACTCTTTCACGCAAAAACTACTGAACGGATTTTAATGAAACTTTACAGTAATATAGCTTATACATCAGAATATATAGGCTATAAATTTCACAGGAGTGAAATAGCGGGCACAGCTAGTATATTATAAACAAGAAAGTTTGCGAGAATATATGTATTTTTTGTTGCTCTTTCACATAAAAAATATTGGATGTATTAGGATGGAATTTAGCAGGATAGGGGCGGAGCCCAATTGAGACACGTTATGTAATCATTATATTAGCTATTTGTATTTTACTTTTGAAATTCCTTAAATAATTAATATCCGTAACCGAAATTATCCGAACTAACGGATAATCCGAAATAATTTCATATCCGCATCCGTATCCGTATCCGAAATTTCATATCCATAACATCCCTGGAATTTAGTATGCAGATCGACCATATCCTATGTACTAACATTGCCCGGTCGATTACGGTAATAATGGTTAACCTCCCGATCTCTCGGAGAGCAATAATTATATTTTTCTGAAAAAGTTAGAACTCCCTGTCTTGGATTAAAAAAATAAACATGTTTATTCGTTCAATTTCGGTTTATAATGTTTCATGCGACCGTATTGAATATGGTGGAGTATAGAAATCAACCGAATGAGCATTTCTTTAATTAAATAAATTAAAAAATCGATTACATTACTGATTACTGGACAAGTGTTTTTATGGCTTTATTATATTACATATTAGTTTATTTATTTCATTATTTATTTATTCATAACAATAATTAATGTGTCGAATTTCAAAATACAAAATTAAATCTAAATCTAAAATAACAATGTCAAAATAATAATATAACATTATAACAATAAAATCAATAATAGTAATACCAATAATAATTTCCAAATTGAGCCACAGTAACGGTCATTCATCCAAAAATTCGTCAACGGAATAAAAGCATTTTTTTAATAAATATTTTTTAAGTTTACTTTTGCAATTGTTTTTATAAATATAGTATATGTATATCTGATGATTGTTGACATTTTTATATTGTATAATTGCTACTACTATTGTAATATATATTTATCATTGTGCATAAGATATTAATTTTTAATTATATGATATTATTATTCAATTGTAACATATTCAAAAATTGCATGCCTATAAATTGGGGCAATTAAACAAGAACATTATCTGGACATATCTAACTGTTTTATGAAAATAAAATTAATTTCATTTCTACAGCAGAGCTACAAGTTTGTACTATCAGCCTTCATTTTTCGTGTAAAAACTTTTGAAAAATATGAAAAACTGTTGGAGACAAAATAAATATAAATTGAAAAATTTATTCATTTATTATATTCTTTTAATAACAATCTGATAAAATTCTTAAACTTAAAATTCTTCCGGGTTGGACGTCTCTAGAGTTGGTAATACAAAGTGTATTAAGCTTCAATGTAAGTAGGTATTACTTCGTTTTAAAAATAGGAAATTGTACAGTTCATAAGTAATGCACGTTGTTGTGAGAATTTTATGACTTTCTTATGTATTTCCTATAATGCGGGCGGATTTCCATCAGATGTGGTATTTTTATTAGTAGCGATAAAAATATATTTTATTTACTTCAATATTAAATCCTGTAGTAAAAATTTTAAAACTGAATAAGTTTCTACAGGATTTATGGTATATATATCTACATACCTATAATATTTTTGGCCTTTAGTCTATGGGTTAAACATCACTTACTTCTATTGATCGCATACATTATATTAAAGGAGACATGTATCGTTACAACAAGGCCTTAGGCCTTATAGCTGAAAGCAATCTTTTCATACCTGTATAAAAACTAATTCCGGAAAACTGCATTTGAAAGGAATGAAGCTCAATACCGTCACTCCGAGACAGACAGCGGATAAATATTTACACAACAACCTAATTATTGTTTGGTACCGCATTTAGATTCGTGTTAACTGAGTGCCAACGATTGATAGATATAGGCCGTGTTTGAATCTGATTGATCAATAGAACAACAACAGTCACTTGTACAGTCATCACCAATCTATAATAACTAGTGGTCGACCAGTGGTCAACCAGTGGTCGAAAGGCGCATAATTAATTTTACATGTATTAAGACTATAAACAAATAATAATATATAAAAGAATACTCTTTTGTTTATTGTTAACTAGCTATTGCATGGTGCACATGTATTATACATAATAAACCTTCCTCTAGAATCACTCTAACTATTAAAAAAACCGCTTCAAAATCCGTTACGTAGTTTTAAAGATTAAAGCATACATATGGACAGACAGCGACAGCGACATTGTTTTATACTATGTAATGATGGCAATGAAATCTGTGGTCATATTGAGAATATATTAATATTGTTTATCTTTAATATTATATGTTCATAGTTTTACTGTATTTTAAAGAAAGAAAGAAAGAAAGAAAGAAACTTTAAATTTATTATGGTCGATATAATAACAATAATAATAATCTCAGGACAATTCACACAGCGCCATCCAGACCCAGGTTAAGCTAGCTAATGCTTGTGTTACAGGTACTAGATAACTGATACAAATAGATATTTTTTTTCATAAATACATACATACTCGTATTATACATAGAAAATACCCAGACCGATACAAACAATCATACGATATGCCTATATATATGGTGTGTGTCAAATTGTAGTATATACT